GGGGGGGGGGGAGGTGTACTGCGCTATGCGGAGGACGACGAGGCAGAGGCATCGTCGTCGTCGTCATCGTCATCGCCATCGTCATCGTCGCTGTCCTCGTAGGATGAGGATGAGAGATCGTCAGGGTTGGGGAGGCGGCGGGTGGGCGCGGAGGAGGAAGGCGGCGCGTACTTGCCGGTCGGGTCAAGCTTTGCCATGATGCCGGTGATCATGTCGGCGACAAAGGGCTGGCCGCTCTTGGTAGTGCGGCGGAAGCGCTTGGCGCGTGCAGAGCGCTTGGCAAGGGCGGCAGTGCGGGCTTCGGCACGAACCTTGGCCGCAGCCAGAGCGGCGTCCTTGGCTATCTTCTCCTCCTGGAGCTTCGCCTCGTACTCGAGTCGGGCCTTCCGGTACGGATCGGTGCGGCGGCGGGTACCGGGCGCCTTGCGGCGCTTGTACTCTTCGGCGCGCGCGGCACGCTTCTCGCGCAGCTCGCGCAGCCGCTTCCGAAGGGCCTTGTCGTCGTCGGCGGCCGTGTTGTCAGCACTGGCGCCGCTGTTGTTCGACTTTCCGGCCGTCTTGCCGCGGCTGGGACCAGCGCCGGCGCCGTCATCGTCGTCGATCTCGCCGTTAAAGTACGCGTCGTAGAACGAGCGCGACTTGGCGGCGACGGGGTCGTTCTTGCGGCGCTTGTCGGCGCGCGCATCCTTCTCCAGCGAGCGAGTGTACGAGATGATGGTGGCGCGCTTCCGCTTGGCGGCCGCCTTTTCCTTTTCGGACACAAACCGATTGGCGGAGCGGTGAATCATGGCCTTCTTCTTGCGCTGCTCGTCGCGCGAGAGGCCGCCCTTCCGCGACTTGCCGCCACGATCTCTACCTGTCCGGGCAGACGCCTTTTGCACGCCGCGATTGTTGTGAGGCCTACCCTCCCAAGCAGTATTCGGCCCAGCAGATGAGGCCACCCACCACCAGATGAGGCCACCCGAACAGTCGCCGCCACATAGCCATCAGCCATCACATCAGTCGCAATCAGCCCACCAGCCATCAGATCAGTCAGCAGCCACACCATCCAACCATCACATTCAGTCTATGACGTGAGTCTCCCGAGTCTCCCTCCCCCCCTTCCCACCCCCTTCCCACCCCCTTCCCACCCCCCCCCTCCCCTCGCCCCCTTCCACCTCCCCTCGCCCAGCCCATCCTCCCCCCTCGTCGGCGTACATGGCACACTCTGGCAGGCTGTGTGGATGCAGGTAACGCCTGAGGTATGAATGAACAGACTCTTGTGTGCTCTGTTGGTCACTCTCTTCGGACAGTGGGTATCCGCGTCGTGGTGGAGAGCTGTGTTGCTCACTGCAGCCTTACGCTCCGTAACCTGGTCGGCCATCCGCTGCAGTGGGTGAGGGAAGAGGATGGATGGCGTGCCATTTGATCATGGTCCGCCGCCTGGTTGTCTCTGGTCACCACACAGTATTGCCTTGTGCATCGGGCCGCTGACGGCGCCACAAATGCATGCATTAGTGTTGTACGTGGTAGGCAAGTAGAAGTTGCTCATTGAGCACACCGATGTATTGCTTCCTGATCCTAATTCCTCCGTCAGGCCCAATCTCATCGTCATCATCATCATCAGCCCTTTTCTGCTCGTCAACTGCAACTACCACCAACCGCGCATCCTCGCCAGACCCATCCACCATCCTCCCCAGATCAGCTCCTCCCACTCCCATCCCCATCCCCCCCTCCACTCCCCCACTACACACCACTCACACACACACACACAACTCTGATGCCAACTCGATCTCCATCACGCTTCCCATCTCTTCCCGCGGTGCACTTTTACATCAATGATCATCCGTCAAAAATACCCCTCCTCCCCCAGCCCATCACACTCGACCTTCTCCCCAATCACCACACCACACCGCATCATCGACCTGTTGTCCATCCTCCAGGCGTGAGGCAATCTCCAGCCCCCATCATCACTGCTGCTCGCTGCACCATCAACGATCCATGATCTCGTCTGTGTGGGCTGGGGCCGGAGAGACTGGAAGCACCTGACTGACCCGCACCGACAACGGCCATGGAATCCCCCACACCTGCAGCTGCTGCGCTGGAAGCTGTGTACGACCAACTGCGACTGGTTCAAGGACAACGACTTGCGCTTGATGCGCTGTATAAGGACCTGCGCCTGCGACTCAAGCAGACCATTCTGGTGGAACGGGAGCTGCTCGATAAGGTCGATGATGCCTGGCGGGACTGGAATCGCGAGGCCGTGGCAGCTGCCATGGATCGCGAGCGGCAACGCCGGCTCGACACGCCCTCGTCTGCCCCTCCAGATGGAGTCTCTCCGCTCGCCTCGGTCGTCGAGCACGAGTTGAAGGAAAAGGCGAGCCGCTTGCGGGCCCGGCTGGATGCCGAGATTGAGCGCGAGCGGCGCATGGCCGAGTCCGATCTGGACACCGTTCTCGAAGCCCGAGACTCGGATGACTCGCACTGGGACATGAAGGAGGAGCTGGTGCGCAAGGCCAATGCCATGTGGGCCTCGCGTGCTGCGCTGTCCGAGGCCAATCGTCGGGTCCGTGCCGCTGCCGACGTCGACTCGGTCGATCTTCCCGCCCTCGAGCCCGAGGTCAAGGCCGAACTTGTCCGCAAGTCGTCCGAGGTTTTCCGCCGCATGCAAGACGAGGCGGTACGTGAGGAGCGGATCCGCGATGCGCTCGAGGCTGACGCCAACGAGCGCGCTGCGGCGGCGGCGGCTGCCGATGCCGATGCCGAAGCTGAGCGCGAGCGACGGCTGGCAGCCGACGCCAAGGCGGCGGCTCAGGACGAGCTCGTCCGCCGTCGGGCCCAGGCCGTGGCCGATGCCCAAGCCGCTGCCGAGCAGCTCCGTCGCGTCGAGTCGGATGAGCTCAGACTCGCCCGCGAGAACGAGGTTCCAGGCGCCGAGCTCGTCCGCCACGACCTTGTTTCGGCCGTCAACCGCCGCGCCGCCCGCAAGCTCTACGATGCCGAGGCCGCCGCCGCCGTCGAGTCGAAGATCCGTGCCGCCGGCTCGCGCTCAATGTCTACCGCGCTGCTGGAGGAGATCGAGCGAACGGCGGGGCGGCTTTATGTACTCCGCCGCGCTGACGCCGAGCAGGCACGTCGCGAGGCCGAGGACAGCGGCCCGGCCATGGACGACGCCGCGCTCCAGCTCCGCGAAGACGTCTCCCGCGCCGCCGCCGCCCGCGCCGCTACCATCGCCGCCGAAGAGGAGCGCCTGCGCCGCCTCCGCGAGGTGTTTGAGGAGGAAGAGGCGGCACGTGCCGAGGCCGGAGCTGAGGCTATCGCCGCCATGGAAGCCGAGCGGGAGCGACGGGTGGCTGAGGAAATCGGCTCGTCCGCTGCCGCCGACGCCGCGCGTTGCGCCGCTCGTAACGCCGCCCGCAACGCCATGGATGCCGAGCAAGCACGCAGGCTGGCGGAGGCCCATCCACCAAAGACGCTTGATGCCGAGACCGCCGAGGCACTTCTCCGTGCCGCCGGCCAGGCCTATGCCACCCGCGCCATGGACGCCGAGCAAGCGCGCAGGCTCGCGGAGCTCGACGCGCAAGAGGCGTCGGCCCGCGCCGAGCTCAGCGCGCTCGCGGTGCAAATGGCCGAGACCGAGCGACAGGCACGAGTGGCCATGGCCTCGCGCGCCGAGCTGGTGGCCACGCTCGAACGTCGGGCCGCACAGGCCGAGGCTCTGGAAGCCATCGAGTCTGAGCAGCTCCGCCGGATATACTCGGGCGAGGGTGGGCCGCACCCAGTGGCTCAGTCAGCCGAGGCCGTCCGCGAGCTCGCGCGGCGGGTTGCCGAGCGCAACCAGGCCCCAGCGGCAGGCCTCTCCCTCTCGCGATCGCGCGAAGAGCTAGTGACGCGTGCAGAGCGGTTGAGTGTTCGCCATGCCGCCGAGGCTGAGCGGAAGCGGCGCGTCGACGCCCATGCGGCGGCGGCTGACGCCGCTTGCAACGAGGCAGCCGCCTCGCGCGCTGCCGCCATCCGCGCCGCGGAGACCAGTCGTGCCGAGGTTGCGGCAGCCGCGAATCATACAGCGGTGATCGAGGAGCTTGAACGCGTGCGCGGCCGTGCGGCCGCCGTTGCCGCGATGGAGGTCGCTCGCTCCGAGCGGAGCGCTCTCGCAGCACACGCAAGCGTCCAAGAGCAGCTCGCCGTGGCAGGGAGCCGAGCGCGGGCAGGACAGCTCTACTCGACCGGCGTCGCCGAGGCCTCGGTCCTTTCACCACGATCGCACATGCAGGCCGCAGCCTCGTTTGGTGCCGAGTTTGGCGACGTTCACAGCCAGTTGCAGCGGCTAGCGGCGGGCGCCGAGGCGCGCGCGGCGGCCGAGCTCGCTCGCAGCGAGCGCGCGCAGCAAGCGGCCGAGCTCGAGACGTACCATCGGGCCGAGGCCCGGGCTACTGCTGCTGCCGCCGCCGAGGCCGAGTGCGTCTTCCGCATCGCCCGTGACTCTCGGACCGAGGTGAACGAGGACGTGCTACGCGCGCTGGCGCGGCGGGCTGCCGTCCGCGACATGGAGCGAGAGCGGCGCGAGCGGATGTCCGCGCTCGACTCGACACTCCCGCCGCCGCACTCGCCGCGGTGGTACGCCCGGGCGGAGGCGCTCGAGCGGCGGGCGAACCAGTTCCAGGCCCGACGCCTGGTGGCGCAGGAGCAGGCCGCCCGCGCCGCTGCTGCTGCTGCCGCCTACGACTTTATTGACGATCCTGCGCTCTCGCTCGACGTTAAGCTGCAGCTGATGGAGGAGGTTAACCGCCGCGAGGCGAGACAGTAAACGGACGACCTGGCGTTGGGTGTTACATGATGACGCAGCCCTCGTCCTCGTCGGTAGTGGGGGTGTTCTCGCCGGTGGGCGGTTGCGCAACCGAGTTGGTGCGCGGCGGCGGTGCGGGCGCAGGCGCAGGCGCAGGCGCAGGCGCGGGCGCCGGAGTCGGAGCCGGGGTGGGGTTGGATGCGGGCGCCGGAGCGGGGGAAGGGGCAGGCGCCGGAGCGGGCGCGGGCGCGGGTGCGGGCGCCGGGGCGGGGCTGGCTGCTGTCGGCCGCTTCCACTGGGTCTTGCGGTTGACGTGGTCGACATAATACTTGCGGCCTGTGTTGGCATCGATCTTGACCTCCCAGCCGTCGGGAAGCGGCGCGTCGGACGTGGCCGAGTTGGTCCGCGACTTGGAGCGCTTCTTGCGGCTCTTGGTCTTGATCTTGGTCTTGGTTTTGGTCTTGGCCTTGGCCTTGGCCACAGCCGGCTGCGCGGCATCGGGCGGGGGCGAGACGGCGGGCTCCGAGACCTCGCCGAGGGTGGTGCCGTGGCCGGCGTCACGGAGGACGCCGCCCTCTGCAGCGACGTGGGAGTGGACGTCGGGCTGCCACGAGTCCTCCCCATCGTCAGCAAAGACGTCGACGTGCGAGGGCGCGCGGATGGCCGGCGGAGTCGACGGGACGACCCGCGGCGTCGAGCCCGACTCGGACGCTTGCGCCTCGTCGTCTTGATTGTTGTCGTCAGCAGCACCGTCGGCCGAGAGCGAAGCCGAGACTGCCGCAATCAGCGCCACCGTCTCGTCCTCGGCGCCACCAGCCGCTGGAGCAGGCTCGGCTGCAGCAGCAGAGCGCGCGAGCGGATGCGACGGGGCCGACGCGTTCTGGACGGATCCGATGGCGGAGATGGGCGGAGTTGCGGTCGAGGTGGCTGGAGCTGGGGCCGAGACCGGGCTCGGGCTCGGGCCGGCGGCGGCGGCGCCCGTGGCGGCTGTGGCGGCTGTAGCCGGGCGAGCGATGGGGATGAGCGGCGTGGGGTCATCTGCGCGAGGCGAGGGCAGCGGCGTGGTGAGGTATGGCTTGGGCAGCGGGCCCTTTGCAGCGACAAGTTGCTGCAGAGCAGTCATGAGATGGCGACGCATGACAACAGGGAGGCCCATGTCCCTCCAGTCGATCTCATGCATGCATGTGAGGTCATAGAGCGAGTTGACGCCCTCGCGGACGAGAATGACCACCACGTCCTTGGTCTGGTCTTCCGTCCACCCGTTCTCCCCGGCGACGTGGTTGACAAACGCGTCGAGCTCCTCCATGGTTAGGTTGCACGCGGGTGTAGGTGTGGCGGTCGTGGTGGTGGAGGGGTGGGTGGTGGTGAAGGAAGGTGGGTGGCCGTCGGCGAGGTTGGGGAAGTCACCCAAGTTGGCTGGTCCGACTCGGGCGCCGCGTTGCTAGGCGACAACGCGCTCAGCACATGGAGCTGCCACTAGAGGGCTGAGCAAAGTTGGCATGATGTTTGGCATTGGTGATCCAAGAAAATGGTTGTTGGCGAAATGGCAGCCTCAAAGCCGGCAGAGTAAATGTGACATCTTAGTGGCTTTTAGGGGGCATACAACCAAAGGCGACATTCCATTTCTTCCATTTGGGCTGTGTGCCTTGTTTTGCATGTTTACGACGCTCAAAGGTGGCGCAGCACGACCAGCGTTGGTGTTGTTGTCGTCATCACCAAAGGGCGCTGTCGTTGGATGCCAAGTACGATGTTTCGTCGGACGAGGACTCGTTGGAGGATAGGTCGGAGGAGGAGCTTGCTCGCGAACGGCGCGCCCGCTTGGGCTTGAACGGCACGCCGGCGTCGGCGCCGGAGACCCAGACGATGGGGGCGCGCTGGAGGTAGAGGACAACTGCAAGTGGGACGAGCGAGAGCTCGGCAAGGAGAAGGAAGAGGTATGCGAGCGCATTGTGGTTGAACGACGCAGAGAGCGGGCAGTCGTCTGCGACCTCGCCGTCGCAGTCGGCCTGCAGTACGGCGCGGAAAATCGTGCCGGCCATCATCCACAGCGCCACGGCAAGCAGCGGACTCACCCGGAGCCAGCAGTGGAAGCCTGGCGCTAGGCGAGGACAGCACAGCGGAGCCACGAGCGACCATACCGCAGCAGCTGCGAGGGCGGCGGCCCCAACGAGGAGCACCGCACCCGCGACGCCCGCCATGGGATCCACCATCTGGGCCACGCCATGGACAACCGCCACAAGACCCGCCGCCGCCAGCGGGAGCCATGCACGGAGCGGAGCAGAGAACGGGCGGGCAGAGAGCGAGATAGGCGGGAACGGCCAGACGAGGTGACTCGCGAGTGGAAGAGCAGCTGCGCCAGCCGAGCCAACACACACCGTGGCCAGCCTCCAGAAGACCGCCCACCCAGCCGAGTTGTTAGCTTCATCCGGATACGAGCCATGCGTCACTCCCGCAGCAGCCAGGCCGATAGCAAGCACGCCCACCATGCCTGTAGCGTAGCCGACAAGGACTCGCGAGGGGGAAGCCGGGTGCAGGTGCTGACCGACAAGGACGAGGACGAACAAGAGTCCAAAGCCCACAAAGCCTCCTGCCCACGCCATGCCCGCGCTCCCAGAGCTCGAGTCAAAGCCTGTGTAACCAAGCAGCTGGCGCATGGTCTCTGTTCCCGGCGTACGAGGAGAGGAGAGGGGAGGGGATTGGGAGGGGGTGCGTTAGCTGTGTGGACTGGTCGGTTTCGGCGATTGTCACTCGCTCACCGAACAACGCTGTATGCCCCGTCGAATGCGACATGCCTGCTACCGGTGCTGGGCAGAGGTAGAGCGCGACATACTGCGAGTATACGACTCAGATTGGATGGGAGAGTGCACAAGGGGCTGGGAGAGGCTGCTAGCTGTGGGAAGAGCCGGATGCGAGGGAGTAAGGAGGACAGGCGCGTGAGGAGGACAGATGTGCGCGTTTTCTCAAAGTGTACCTGCAGGAGCTGCCCCGTGTCGCAAACCGCAGCTATACCGACCCTGCGGCCGAGCTACACGCGCACTGCAGACCACAAAGGTAAAGGACGCACTTCATGCCTACCATTACCTGCCTGCCAAAGTGATGGCATCGGTCATCGCGAGTCGAGTACACCGCATGGTTTATGTAGCAGTAGCAAGCAGCAAGTCGGCGAGATCGAGATTGTGCACAAGCTGGTCAGGCTAAAGGCGGTAATGGTGGTGGTGGAGGCGGCTGGGCAGGTACAATTCGCCCGATGACGGCGGTTGGATCGTACTGGTTGTTGATTGCATCTCGGCCTGCCGCTACTCGAGAGCTCGGTGTGTTCGGCGGGATGCAAGTGGACGTGGACATGGACTGCTTGCTGAACAAGTCAGGTGAAGGCAAAGTGAGAGTGTCGCAAACAACCTGGGGCTTCACCGATACGGTGAGTGACACTGGCGTGCAAAAGCCCTCCGGAAAGAAATACCGGCGAGAGGCGGGAGATCCGACGAGCCCAAACAAGGGACCGGGATGGTGTCGGCTGCATACATCATCTTCCACTTTGCCACCACCTCCAGGCTCTTCACCTGCATGTCACACACATCATCACCGCCATCATACGAGCAACAATACGGTGCGGTGCGCACAGTGAGGGACGACCGCAGCTGGCGTACGTTGACGTCGTTGTTGGCGTTCATCGTTCGGTACGACTTGCCACTGCGATGGAAGCGGCGGTAGTGGAATGGTCCAGACGACATGAGACTTGATAGCGGAGAGAAGTGGTTGCATATAGTCGCATCCTCGACGGCTTTGCGGTTGGCCGTCAAAGTAGATCCAAATGATGAAGACGTCACACTACGTCGCTCGGTGAGGCCGAGTGAGCATCGAATCGAAGCTCATTTCTCCGCAAGGACGAAACAATGCCACACAAAAAATAACACCAAGTTGTGCTCAGTTTGTGCTCTGATGTTACCTCGGGGGAGCCGGTGCATGCAGGTCATTAAACAAGTTGCGCATGAAGAGGTTGAGCTGCCGCCGCCGCTCAAACTGAAAGTGGGCAACCTGAACAGAGTGATCAAGGTTGAGAATGCTGTCGATGGTGTTGACACCGAGCGCAATGAGCTCTCCGGCAACCTCGGCCGGCACCCGATAGCAGTCAAGGAGGAGGAACATCTCGTCCATGGTCATAGTCCGAGCCGCCAGCTCGTGCAACGGTGGCAGCTCGTCGAACAAGCACGCTGGCCGCGGGCCCTTGTTCTCCGGAAGTGCCGGTGACGGATCAGCCATGATACACCCCAATCCTCGCCTGCGCTACTTGTGCCTCTAGATCGTGATGATCGATGTTCCTCCGTCCCGTACGCGCCCTGCCGCCCAAGCCCGGCCCCAGGTTGTCGCCTCGCGTGAGTGCCACACCATCCTCCCCCTCCCCTCCTCCTCACTCCCTCCTCCCCCCCCCCCCTAACCCCATAACATACACTCAGTGTGGTCGAGTGGGCCGAGTGGGGCAAGAGAGATGCTTGCCACCAACCGTATGACCACAGCCACTACCGCCCCGGTCGTGCTGCGGCCGACACCAATTGCGAGTGTGATTGATCGCGAGCTGAGGATCGACAAGGTCCGCCGACCGCTGGGGCGGCATGGGCTTTGCCTCACCCACTCTCATCGATCCCCCCCCCCTCGGCCCACAGCCAGCGTCTCCCGAAAAGCTGTCGTAACCACTCACACATGCCCCACGCAATGTGATGCGGCTAACGGAGGGAGCCGGCTTGGCAAGCAAGTCCGGCCGGATCGTCCCCTGCTACATTCAAAGCAAGAGGGCGCCCTCGGCGGTTCTACGACTATACGGCTACATGAGGGGGGGGGGGGAGACTCACTAGCTACCACTATCGCATCTTGGCAGCGCACAGTGAGTTGGCCTTGCGGAAACGGCTGCCGCCATCCGTGCCGGACTCGTTACCGTCTCAAGCAAGAAAAGACCAGGCAAAGTCGTCATCAGAAAGGGCAAGGTCGGCAATCACGTACTTGGCCTCACCATCAACGGGCACCATCTCGGGCTTGCTGAGGACAGCAGGCGGCGGCGAGGCGTACGGCACACTGGAGCCGAGCAACTTATTATCAGCTGACTTGGCCGACTTCCGCCGCTTCACCGGCGGGCCAGCCTTGCTGCTGATGGTGCCACGCTTCCGCTTCCGGACGGACTTGAGACCAATGCGAAGGTTGGAGATGGCAATGTCGCAAGCCTCCGCGGTTTTCTGGAGCTTGGTCTCCTCCTCCCAATCCACACGCTTGATAGTCGAGTTGTGGTTCTCCTTGTGGGCATAGTACGATGAGCGGCGCGACCGCCTCAAGTCGCTGAGCATCATTTGCATCAACGAGCGAAAGCTGAAGCGGCCGTCCGCGGTAATCTCGAGATTGAACCAGGCGACAAGCCCGGCTACATCGTCGCTGGTGATGGACATGCTGCAAAGGGTGTTGTTGAAGAACATGGCAGCCTTGTGACAGTTGGCCCTATCCTCATCGCGAGTCCAGCTACAACAAGAGAGTGCATTCTTGAGAGCACCTCCCCGGACGCTCGTCTTCGACGTCAAGAACACAAGTCGCGAGAGGATGCGCAGCCAGTGACTGTTCCCTACACCAACCTCACCGGGAAGCGAGCGCAGCTTCAGAGCGTTGTCCGACATGTTGTAGCGTGGCAAACTACCCTTCTCCGAACGAAAAGCCACACCGAACGAAAAGCCAACAACGAGCAAAGCTCCCCCTTCCTCGCCCCTCCCACACTGACGGACCGTGACCAACCCAGCGCCCTTGAGCTACAACACACCTAGCTATCCATAGCTAACACTACGGCAAGCACTGCTATGCCCTTGATAGCTCTAGAACCTACTTCAACTCTAGGCAAAGACAAGTCGTACGGCCGTCTTCCTTCTACGTGAACATGGAAAACTTGACGGTACACCTCCGGCAACGACGGCACACTTCGCCTAGACCCGAAAGGGCACACTCAGGCATACGCCATAGACGGTTGAAACGTAGCCAGAGCATAGCTTTAAATGTCCACTTTGCGGCATTCGTGTTGAACCGTTCTTCAACTTCGTCGCAAGCACCTTCTACCCTCTATTCACAGGCCTTGTCCGTGTTAGAGCCCCGGACTGCGTCCCGGCACGCCAAGGCGGTTTTCTACGGAGAGCATGTCCAAGAACCGAATGCCTGAACCTTGCCCCAACACAAGACAAAGAGCAGCTGCTGCATACTCTATGGCCGGCATGCTCCCTAATCATTAGCTCTGGTTCCTCCATGCACGCTGTTGCTGCTCCCCATAGCCCTCGTTGACCCAACCAGCCACCTCAGTACCTGGCGGCAGCCTCGCCGCCACGCTCGCCGCCACGCTCGCCGCCATGCTCGCCACCACGCTCTCCGCCACGCTTGCCACCACGCTCGCCAACCACCAGTAGCCATACGTCCAGCCCCCGCTCTTTTCCCCTGCCTCCCGTTTGCGACCGATCGGGCGATAGGCTCTCTCTCTCTCTCTCTCTGGGCCCAACCGCGACTTGCTTCCCTCCTCACTCTGCCGTCTCATGCCGAGTGCTTGCCTCTTGATACGTCGATGAAGCCGAGTGCGGCGGTCAACGTACTCGATGGCCTCTTCATCTTGGATGATGGCGATGTGTGCGACGCTGATGCTGCTGGGGATGTTGTCGATGCTGCTGAGGACCGATGCCGGTGCCGATGTGGGCCGATGCCGAAGACGATGTGCGCCGATGCCGATGCCGATGTCGATGTCGGACAGCAGCAGGGCGAGCACGTTGGTCAGGCTCAACTAAGGTCAGGCTCAACGACGGCCAAGCAGGTGGTCAGGTGGGCGGGTAGGCGGGTGGGCGGGTGGGCGGGTGGGCGGGTGGGCGGCGCGAAACCGCACGTTGTTTGCCACTCGACTCTTTCGACACCCCTCCGACCAACCATGGCTGACGGCGCGACGACGACAGGAGCAGTGATGTACGATCCCCGGAGCCAGATGACGCAGTTCCGGGAGTACGTCAACAGCAAGTACGCCATCGGCCTCACCGACTACGCCAGCCTCTACCAGTGGTCAGTGGACCACATTGCCGACTTTTGGGACTCTTGCCGCGAGTACACGGGCATTACCGCATCGTCCCCGGCCACCACCGTCCTCGACACCTCTATTCCCATGGAGGATGTCCCCGAGTGGTTTGCAGGTACGTCACTCCCCGCTATCCCCCTCCCTCCCCTCCCCTCCCCCTTCCCCCCGCCCCCCCCTCCCCCCCGCCCCCCCGCCCACGTGGCACCCGTGGATGGCAAACGGTGGCACGGCACGGCACCATCGCCACCTCCCACAACCCATCACCCATCATCCATCACCCCAATCACCACTACCACCACCCATGCCACCGCCACCCACAACCCCCTCACCCCTCCCACAACCCCCTCACCCCTCCCACAACCCCCTCCTTCCACGCACACAGGCATGAAGATGAACTACGCAGAGAATCTCCTCTTCCCCCGCGTCGGAAACAACACCACGCCCGTCGACAACGACAAGATCGCCCTCGTCTTTGCCTCGGAAGAGTTTGACGACCGCTCTATGTCCTTTGCTGACCTCCGCGAGGCCGTCCGCATCCTGGCGGCCGCCCTGGCCAAGCTCGGTGTCGGCGTCGGTGATCGCGTCGCCGGCTACCTGCCCAACTGCATCGAGGCCGCTGTCGCTGTCCTTGCCACCATCTCGCTCGGCGCCGTGTGGACTTCGTCGTCGCCTGACTTTGGCGTCACGGGCGTCCTCAACCGCTTTGTCCAGGTCCAGCCCAAGGTCGTCCTCTCCGCCAACGCCGTCCGCTACAATGGCAAGGTCCACAACCACCTGGAGAAGCTCGCTGCCGTCGTCTCGGGCCTCAAGGCCGCCTCCGACTCGGTCGAGGCCGTCGTCATCCTCGACTTTGTCCCCCCGCACACGCCCCCGCCGCCCCTGCAGACTACCCGGTCCTCGCTAACGCCACTCCCTGGGCCGACTTTGTCGCCGCCGAAGCTGCCACCACCCGCCCGCTCTCGTTTGAGCAGCTCCCCTTTGCCCACCCCATCTTCATTCTTTACTCGTCCGGCACCACCGGCACGCCCAAGTGCCTCGTCCACTCGGCCGGAGGCACCCTCCTCCAGCACAAGAAGGAACACATGCTCCACGGCGACCTCCGCCCCACCGACAAGCTCTTCTACTTTTCCACCCTCGGCTGGATGATGTACAACTGGCTCATCTCGGGCCTCTCCGTCGGCGCCACCGTCGTCCTCTGGGAAGGCTCGCCGCTCTTCCCGCGCTCCACCGTCCTCTTTGACATGATCGACCGCGTCGGCGTCTCCGTCTTTGGCGTCTCGCCCAAGTACCTCGAGGCTGTCGAGCGCTCCGGTGCCGTCCCGCGCGACTCGCACTCGCTCGCCTCGCTCCGCGCCGTCCTCTCCACCGGCGCCCCGCTCGATGACCACCAGTTCGACTTTGTCTACTCGGCCATCAAGCCCAACGTCGTTCTCGGCTCCATCACTGGCGGCACAGACATCGTCTCGTGCTGGGCTGGCAACAACCCGGAGAAGCCCGTCGTCCGCGGCGAGATCCAGGGCCTCAACCTCGGCATGCGCGTCTTTGCCTACGACGCAAACGCAAATCCCGTCTACGACACGCGCGGCGACCTTGTCTGCACCGCTCCCTTCCCCTCTATGCCCGTTTACTTTTGGAACGACCCCGACGGCGTCAAGTACCGCAAGGCCTACTTTTCAAAGTTCCCGGGCGTCTGGTCGCACGGCGACTTTCTCATCATCTCCTCCTCCACCGGCGGCATCCGCATGCTCGGCCGCTCCGACGGGACCCTCAACCCCTCGGGCGTCCGCTTTGGCTCGGCGGAGATCTACCATGTCATGGACTCCATCCCGGAGGTCGCAGACTCGGTCGTCGTCGGCCAAAAGTGGGGCGGCGACGAACGCGTCGTCCTCTTTGTCAAGCTCGCTGACGGCGTCGCCGCTCTCGACGACGACCTCCTGCTCATCATCAAGAAGGCCATCCGCTCCCAGCTCTCTGCCCGCCACGTCCCGGCCGTCATCCTTCCCATTGCCGACGTCTTGTACACCATCAACGGCAAGAAGGTCGAGGTCGCCATCAAGCGCATCCTCGCCGGCGCCGACCCCGCAGCGGTCGACCGCTCCGCCTTTGCCAACCCCGATGCCCTTGACCTGTTTGTCGGCATTCCCGAGCTCCAGCCTGTTTCCTAGCCTTTCTTCTCCTAACCCTTTACGGTACGGTCGTTCGGACGCGTTGTCGCGCGTCTCAAAGTGAACAACTCGATGATGCTTGACTTGCAGCTCACCAGCCGACGCTGCGCGACGGCGCCTGCTTGGCCTGCAGCTTGAGGTGGGTCGTAGACGCCTGCCTGAAGGATGCCCGAGTTGCCGTCGCGGTGACGGACGCCTACGAGCATGGACGAGGCGGGCGAGGTGCCATACGACGCCGATCCGGAGGAGCAGTGGGCACGGACGGTGCGGAGCTTGTCGTTGACGACCCCGAGGACCGGGCAGTTGAGCATGACAGAGTTGAACACAGCGGCCAGATGGGAGGGCGCGAGGACGTCTTGCGAAGGACGAGCTTGCCGGTCAAGTCCGCGCCGTCGCGCAAGCGGAAGCGCACCTCTGCAGCGGCTGCTCGTCATCGCCACTCTCCCCAGCAAGCCGCTCTGCGATGCCACTGCCTCGCTGGCCGGAAGCTTCATGGTAAGCGATCGCGGCCGCGGACCTCTTGCCGGCTGCTTTCTGTTGTGGCAGCCAGTAACACATTGTACTGCGCTTTTACAGCAATCCAAGGACGTTGCGACATCTGTGGAGCGTCGCGGAGCGCGGCTTGCGCGATGGACAAAACTGTCCATTCCGTACCGTTAATCCTTAACGGCCCGAGGCGGGGCGGCGAGGTCTATTAAGGAGCATAGGTTGGTGGCGGCGCTCCGTGAGTGGCAGTCGCTGGTTGGGAGCCGTACGATGGTTGCGGTGCCGCTGACGGGTAGGCTGGAGTGGCAGCCATGGGCATGGCGCCGTAGGCTGGCAGTCCGGCAGCGGCGGATGAGCCTGCCGAGCCGTACGAGGAAACGGAGCCGTAGCTCGGTGCAGGAGCGGCAAGCGGCGGGTTTGGCTTGATGCCATGCTTGGTCATGTACGAGAGGAACTGCGATGGGAGTTCGGCAAGAGTCTCGCGGGCGAGCATCTCGGGATGAGCCGAGCCAAACTCGCGGAAGGGCACAAACTGGACAATGTCGCGCTCAGCAAAGACGCCGTTGTGCGAGAGGCGGACGTCGTCACCATCGAGCAGTTCCATCGAGTCAAAGTCAGCATCGCCGACACCCACAATGATGATGGACATCGGAAGCGACGAGGCCTCGACGATGGCGGCGGTGGTGGCGTCCATGTCCGAGATAATGCCGTCGGTGATGATGAGAAGCAGCATGTACTCTTGCGTCTCCTGAGTGGCATGGCGTCCAGCCTGAGCGGCGGCGGCGCGGATGATGGGAGCAAAGTTGGTTGGCCCGTAGAGCGAAACATGGTGCAGGGCGTGGTAGTAGGCGTGGACAATGCCTTCGACACCGACAACCTCGACTTGGTTGGGGTCGAGCGTGAGCGGGAAGCAGTGCGAGACTTGGTTGCCAGGCGGAACCTTGGCACCGTAGCCGAGAGCGGCAAACCGCTGGTCCGAGTCGTAGTTAGCGAGCACCTCTCCGACTGACGTGATCGCTCGCACATACTGGTTCGGCTCGTACGGTGAGATGTAGTGGAGCGAGGCCGGCGTCGCCGGATTGCCGTTGGAGGCGGTAAAGTCGATGCCGACCGAGAGCGAGATGTCGCATCCGCCGACGACATAGTCGAGGAACGACGGCTTTTCGATGAGCGCAAACGAGGTCACCATGAGCACGCCCGAGTTGCGGTACTTTTTCTTCTTCCGCCGCTTCTTGGGATGGATGACCTCAAAGCCGTCGTTGACTCCGGCACTCTCCAGCTGCGAGATGGTGGTCGAGACCTCGCCGATGAGGTCCGGCTCGGACTTTTTGTTCCAATCGTAGATCCGCAGCAGAATCCGACGCTCAATGTCCGAGCCGACGAGCTTGGAGACTGGAACGTGGATGGGCGCCCACGTTGGGTTGAGGTTCTTCTTCACCACGTTAGATCGAATGACCGGGACCCACATGGCGGCATCGGCGGTGTTCTCGGCCGTCGCCCCGGTCCGCGCCTTGCAGACCTCAAAGAACGGGTCCGACTTGCCAAACAGATCCTTTTTGTCGAGATTACGCGCCGCCAGCTGCAACTGAAGCTCGAGCTTCATCTCGGTCACCTCCTCACCCGACACCGTCATGGTCGCCGCCATGCTCCCGCCGCGCGCGTCCTTCATCTGCCCGGTCACTCGCTGCCCACGCCCGCCCATCACCGCCGCCACCGTGGTGTCAAACGATCCGAGAAAGTCCTGCTGTGCGAGCCCCCCAGACGCATCGTCGACGTCATACACCGCGATACGGATGTGCTGTGTTGTTTCAAAGAAGTAGTCAACGTTGATAGCCTTGACAAACGCCGGCGAGAGATTGTCGTTAATGGTCTCGGTCCTGTCGTACTCGACCCAAGATCCTCCTGACGCCAGGTACACCACAGCCATCGGGTCCGACTTGGAGAACGTATCCATGTTTGGCAAGTTTCTGTTCTCCCCCATTCCTCCCACTCTCGTAAGTCGTAAGTTATTCCTACACTCTCCCCTCCCCCTCCCCGACCTTCCTCACAGGACACAGGCACAGCATGGTTGATCTCAGCCACCGCATGCCCCCCCCCCCCCCCCCGCTACACACACCACGTACTTGCACGAGATGTGCAGCTCCACTCGCGAGAGCGGCTCATGGGGGGCACCCCCACTCCATCCAGGATGTGTGGCTGCCATACAACTGGTGGCCTGTGACCGGGAAGAGTTGCGTGTAGAGTGGTGGCGGCGACGGTGGAACGATCGCTATGGCCTTTTCCTGTTGGTTGGCATTCGGCAAGCGGTGGTGGGTGTGGCATGACGGCTTGCGGGCAGGCGAGCGAGCCAACGGTTGGCGGCGTAGAGGTGACAGTGACGGTGACGGTGACGGCATCTGACTCGGCTGGACGGTTGTTGGATGGGTGGGGCCAAGTCGAAGCTCGAGGGTGAGGACAAAGCACTTGTTAAGAATGAGCCGACGTCGCTGTCGTTGAGTAAGCGTGGGTATGTGAGCGTGCCCAAGGAGGTGGTCAAGACGACGTCGCTGACTTCGCTGGACCTCTCGAGCAACGCCATCGCCAAGCTCAAACCGGATCTGAGTCCATTGGTCAAGCTGCGGGTGCTGGACATACAACGGAACTCGTTGGAGGATCTACCGGCGGCTATAGCCAAGCTGACGGCCTTGACTGATCTCAATCTGGCGTTCAATCCGGTGAGGGAGATCCCGCAGGTGGTGAGCAAGTTGCCTGCGCTTGCTGACCTCAAGATTGGCTTCAACGGCGTGGGCAAGTCCAACGCGGCGGCGCTTATCAGGGCGCAAGGCAAGAAGGGCAAGGCTTTGTTCATCGTCAAGCCGGCGTTGTTTGATCCAGCAAAGTCGAGCTTGCCCAAGAGCTTGACCTCGCTCTCGCTGCCGGGCCTCGGACTTCGGACACTACCGGATAGCCTGGCAAACTGCTCTCGGCTGGTTGTCCTCAACGTCGGCGCCAACTCATTTGCCACCGTTCCGGCGTGCGTTTCCAAGCTTGCGTCGCTCACCTCATTTTCGGTGGCCAAGAACAAGATCGAGGATTTGCCGGATGCACTCGGTACTCTCCCGCTCACCAAGCTCAAGCTCGACAGCAATCCACTGACATCGCTGCCCGAGGACATCCGGTCAGCCCCGGCCGACATTGTGTGCATTTACCTCCGGAAGCGCAGCGGGCTTCCGGATCCAGCTGCAAGCAAGGCTCCCAGCGACGAGCCAGCAGCCAACGTGGCTGGCGCCGACGAGGCTGGCCCGCAAGCAATGGCCAACGGCGATGATGCTGGCGGCGTCGGATCAGCGCCTGTGAGAGGAGCTGGAACGATCGAGGCCGGCAGTGATGAAGCCGACGGCGAGGACGTCGATGCACTTGTGGATCGCGTAGAGGAGATCCTAGATGCTGATGCAGCGGCCGCGGCCAACAACGACAACGAGCACGATGACTACTGGGCTCTGGACGGAGGCGCAGGCGAGGCCGAGGGTTTGGGAGAGGCCGAGGCCGAGGCCGAGGCCGAGGAGGCTGGTGAGGGCGAGGCGTGGGAGTTTGCGGATGAGGACGGCGACGAGTCCGAGCTGGCCGAGGTGGCTGCGGCGTCGTTTGCGTCGGCGGCAAGCGGCCAAGCCGACGACGATGGCGAGAGCGAGAGCTCCTTCAACTGGGCAGAGGTGGCGAGCAAGGAGGAGAAGAGTGGAACAGCAGAGGGGGAGAGAGCCGTAACGCCGGATGCAGACACGACGCGAGAGCTGGTGGCGTACCACGAGCACGAGCCGACACCGCCGCCACGGCAGCAGTCGAGCAGCAGCGGTGTGGAGGTTTCCGAGGCAAGCCGGCGCGAATCTGCGGCGTTGTATGCGCTCCGCGAGCAGCCGTCGTTTGTGCACGAAGCCAGGAGCCGGGACGCGCTGGACGATGGGCGGAAGCGGCCGACCGGGCTCTTCCCGCCACGGCGCCGGCTGGTAGATGAGCCGCTGCCGAGCCTTGCGCTCGAACGCAGCTTTGGCGGCGGAGCACTGACTAGCGGCTCGCCGACGCGACCGCCGATGCGACTGTCGCCAGCGCCGGAGCGGATTCGAATTCCGGGCGAGCACGTGCTGATTCGGACGAGCCCGAGCCGTGATCCATACGCACCACGGCGGTGAAGAGTGTTAGTGGTGCTCGCGGGAGCGCTTGGACGACGACTTGCCACGGCTGCGGTGGCGGGCGCGGTGTGAGGCGCTGTGGTTGGAGATAAAGCCGGCTTCGTGGGGGACAAAGCCGTCGCCGCCGCCGGAACCGCGTCTGCGGGGCGAGCGGGCGTCAAAGGGCATAAAGTCCGAGAGGTAGTCTTCGTCACCACGCTTGGGCTTAGAGCGCTTGCCCGGTTTGCGTGGCGACTTGCCCGACTTGCGCGAGCGGCGCGACGGCGAGCGGGAGTGTGGGACGTAGTCGGAGCCGTACGGGTCCTTAAAGGCCTTGGCAGAGAGTGGCGCGTAGGACATAGAGACCGGCGGCGAGCGTTGCGAGGACTCGAACGGGAGGGTGCGGCCACGCGAGTCCGACTCACTGCTGTCGTTGAGGTGTGCGGCCGAGGGGCGGACACAGCCTGACGACGACGAAGATGACGTCATGGAGTGCTCGACGTCTGACGGGATGCGAGCCGACGTTGGCGTCTTGTCGCCGATGGAGGACGAGCCTGACGAGTCTGACGAGTCAGACGACGAGGCGTACGACGAGGAGCCGTGGAAGACGACGGAGCGCATTCCGGCGCGGCGCTTGAGATACATGGAGAGGTTGAGCTCGTTGGAGAGTGAGTTGGAGGAGCCTTCGGGCGGCGGACGGCGAGGGGGTGAGGGCGATGCTGCGGTAGCGGTGGCTTCATCGGTGGTGACGATGGAGGACGAAAAGGAGAGCGCAGCAGGCGCAGGCGTGACAGCAGACGATGAGGTCGAGTACGAGTACGAGTACGAGTATGACGGCTTGCGCGGCGCGGACGAGCTGGCTGGAGGCGGGAGCGAGTTGCGCGGAGAGTGCTGTCGATCATGGGTAGGCGGCGAAGTGAGAGCGACGCGGTCGGGCGCGGGGGTGGAGTGTGTGGCCGGCGACGACTTGGAGGCCCGGTGGCAGCAGGCAGCGAGGCAGGAGAAGAAGGCGGCGAGGCGAGCACGTGGGAGGTGGAGCGAAAACTTGGCGTGGAGGCCAAAGTGGTCGGAGAACCACAGTGGGCGTGGAGAGTGGGTGAAGGGGACAGTGCCGTCAAGGACAATGTCGTCGACTCGCCAGTAGGTGTCTGGCGGCGGGACGGGCGAGTTGCCACGGAGCTGCGGCGGGAGGCCTGAGGGTGGAAAGAGCGGATGTGTGTCCTGGACGCGGGCAAGGATGCGGTCGTAGCGGACAAAGACCGGGATGCGCTTGTGGATGCGGGCCATGTCGTTGATGTCTGTGTTCTCTGTGTAGCCCTTGGTGTCGGCGCCGTGGCAGTACGGCCACAGATCCTCGTAGCCGGCGGCGAGGAGGGCGCGATTCTCGTCGAGCCACGTGTCGTCGATGTTTGTGTCGCCGGCGAGGATGGTGAGGGTCGGGAAGCCGAGGTAGCGGTAGCGGGCGAGGGCGGGCCAGACGATGGACTGCAGCTGCTTGACGCGGAGCCAGCCCGAGGCTTTGTGTGACTCGAGGTGGACCGAGGCGAGAACAACCGGGAAGTAGCCACGCGGGGTGGGCACGGCAGTCTCAGCCACGAGGAGCTTGCGGTTTTGGGTCGACCGCATGTCCAGAATGCGGAAGCCAAGGGTGGGGAGGGCCGAGGCGATGACGACCCCGTAGGGCAGCAGCGTACCACACGGCCCATAGTCAGAGAGAGCGTAGCCATCGCGGATAAAAGGCATGGCAGCAAGAGCCTTGAGAAACGGCGGGGTCACTTCCTGGAAGCAGAGCAGGGTCGGCAGCGGACGAAGCGAGGCAATGTGGTCGAGAAGGGCCACGGTCCGGCGCTCCTTCTCGGTTTCGTGGAACCAGACGTTAAAGGTGAGAACTGAGATCTTAGGCGAGGACGAGGCCGATTGTGGCGGCGGCAGTGCTACCACATCGGCGAGTGAGAGAGAGGCAAACGGCGAGCCAGAGGTAGACCACTTGCCCTTGTCGCGCGAGTAGCGCCATGCCGGAATGCGGGTATCGCCCAGCTCAGACGAGTTCAGCATCTGCTTCTCCTTGCCCTTGCCCTTGCCTTCGCCCTTGTCCTTTCCTGCTGCCTTGCCCTTGCCCTTGCCCTTGCCCTTGCTCTTGCCCTTGCCCTTACCGCTCGCTGCGGCAGTGGTAGTGGCTGTCGACGGCGTCGACGAGCCAGAGGCCGAGCCTGACGAGCTGAAGGCAGACGAGACGGCCTTCTTTCTCCCGCCACCCTTGACGCTCTTGGAAGACTTGCGCACCATATGTGGAGGAGGAGGAGGAGGAGGTGGTGGTGGTGGTGGTGGTGGTGGTGGTGGTGGTGAAGAGGCGTGGGTGCGGGCAGAAATGGCGCGAGTGGAGACCGAGTCGGGAGGCCGGGTGGCGATGGCGAAGTGCCACACGGTGGATGGGAGAGATTGTAACGGCGAAAGGAGGAGGAGGAGAATGTATGGGGTGTGTGAAGCATGTGGGAGTTGTAGTGATGACTGGGTGGAGGGATGTTGCGATTGGCTTGGCGATGGGCACAAGGGGGGTTGTGTGAGGGAGGGAGGGAGGGGGCGGCTTGCTCGGATCTTGGACAAGGTCACTTGAGGACGATGAGATATACGGCCATGGCGAGGCAGGAGAGGGCGACGAGAGAGTGTAGTCTTGAGCCAATGACGCCCCCTTTGTGGAAAATGCCCCAGAAACCCTTGCGCTCGGACATGAGCCACTTGCGGAGACGAGGGACGGAGCGAACGTAGGCCATGGTGCAGACAAACAGCAGCGAGATGATGACCATACCATCGAACGAGTATGCTGTACATCCGTAAGACGCGTACAGGCGGGCATGCCCATCGGTCCGAGAATGACGTCCGAGTTGAGTCACAAAGACAAAGACGGAGACGAAGACGGAGACAAAGACGAAGTCGGAGACGATGGCGATGACGATGGCGATGGCGATGGCGAAGGTGAAGGCGATGACAAAGACGATAACGAAGACGATGACGACCAGATGGTTACCATGTGAGCGCGAGGCCAAAAGAGGCGATGCGGCGTGTGGGATGATGGGGTCAGTGCTGTGAACGATGGCCGGCTATGACCGTGCCGGGTAGGTGGGGAGGAGGGAGGGGGAGGGGGAGGGGCAGGGGGGAGGGGGAGAGGGAGAGGGAAGCTGTCCGTACCGTTGGTCATGGTGCGATAGAACCCACCGAGACTGACAAGTGAGACAAGCGAGACAAGCAAGCCAAGCGAGACAAGACGGCGAATACGAGAGGGCTTGGGTGGCGTCAAGTGGGCCCGACTGTGGTCGACGTGTCCGTGCCTGTTCCCTTGCCGCTCCTCTGCCCGTCAGCTCTGTCGTGTGGGCTTGCGCGCCATGTAGATCGACCCCATCCGGCACTTCGATCCAGCATAGCTCACCAGTCAACCTTGTCTCACCTGCACCTCGCACCGTTTCTGCTATCTCCATCTGCTGTCTCCATCTGCCGTCTCGGCAGCCCGTCGCGACCAGCAGCAATCGGCCAGCGACCGCCATGGGCTCATCGGCGATGCGCGCCAAGTCCCCTCCCTCCCCCCCCCCCTTCCCCCCCCCACCTGTCCCCCACCTCACCAACCACCACCAGAGCACCACCTCACGCTTCGCTACGTCAAGTGGAGCGAAGGACCCGTAGCAAACTCCCATACCTACATGCCGCTTAGTCTCCCGTACACGTACCGCGAGACGGACGACCGGCTTGTGGTCAATGTCATCCCCGAGGGTGTGGTGGGCAAGGTGGAGGCCGGCAAGGTGGACGTCTTCTGCCACGGCGCGTATCTCAAGCTCTTCTACCCTCCGCACCATGTTGTTCATCTGGATTTGCATGACGCTGTGGAGGGCGACTCGCTCAATGTGCTTGTCTCTCAAGATCTCATCACCCTCACCGTCGACAAGGCGCCATCAGCCCGTGGCGAGTGGCCCTCACTCCTCTGCTCCTCGGCCGATCGCGCCACTCTGGCTGCTCGCCGTGCTGCCTTTGTCGATGCCGCGGCAGAGGCAGCTGTCGAAAAGGCAAAGGCCGCAAAGGTGGCGGCAGCTCGCACATCGCGCGAGGCGGTTGCGGCTTCTGTGGATGTCGGCAGGCGCAAGCGCGAGCTCATGGCCGAGCGCAAGGCCGCCGAAGAGGCTGCCGCCATGGCCGATGTCTACTCGGCTGCTGCTGCCGAAGCCGAGGCCGCCGCCGCCGCCAAGGTCTCACAGCCATCGCCCGTGTCGAGGGCCCAGGCGTTGGCAGCGCGCAAGGCGCGACAGGCTGCCGCCGAAGCGTCGCTGCCCCCTGTCCGCGCCACGACCGAGATCGAGGTCGGGTTCTCAGAGCGGGTTTTCCCACTCCGGCGCGCGAATCCAAGGTTGCGCAGGAGGAGGCCATTCTCAAGCGGTCGACGACGGCGCTGGCGGATGACGATGGCGCGGGCGGACAGGCTAACATTGCCGACGCCTCTGCGCAGTGGCTCAAGCTCAAGGGCGACGAGTTTCTGCTCAGCGCCGACATCCCGTCGGCGCTCAATGCGTACGACCGGGCCATCGAGATTGATCCCAATTTTGCACTCCTCTTCTCCAACCGCGCCATTTGCCAGTTGCGGCTCTCGCGGTTCGAGGCGTGCGTGTCAGACGCATCACAGGCACTGGCGCTGGCTGCACTCCATGCGCCTTCGGCGCCGCGCTCGCCGCTCGTTCTCATCCGCCGTGGCACTGCGCTGCTGCGGCTCGGCCAGCTCGACGCTGCTGCCGACGACTATGTCGAGGCTGCGGCGGCAGTCGCTGACCCGGTTGTCGCCGCAGACACCGCCAAGCTGCTGTGGCGCCTGACGTCTAGCTACCGCGATCATGCCGCAGCCTGCCTCGGCGCCGGGCGAGCCGACACTGCCGCGGCGTCGCTCGACAAGGCCATCGGCCGTGCGCGAAACCCACAGGAGCAGGTGGCTGTTGCACTCGGCCACATTGATATGCTCGACCAAGCTACATTCTCAGCAGAGACTGCCGATATGCGGGCCAAGTATGCGTCAGTTGCCCGTGACGCTGTCGCGCGGCTCCTCCCTCCGGCCGAAAGCGGGGTCGGCAGCGAGAGCTGCGGCGGCGAGACCGACTTTGCTCTCCCGTGGGATGTGACGGTACTGGAGCAGATTCGCGCGCGTGTAGCGGGTCTTTAACGCTTAGCGCGCTTGGAGCGGCGTGCGGTCGGTGGCTCGGCAGCGGGCTCGGCGACCGGCTCGGCAGCGGGCTCGGCGGTCGGCTCGGCAGTAGGCTCGGCACGCTTCCGCTTCCGGGATTGCGGCTCAGACGACGCCTCGGCGTCGACGCCGGCATCAGAGACAGCAGGCGCTGGAGCGTCGTCGTCGTTGTCGGACGACGAGTAGCCGGAGAGCTCACCAGACTCAGCCGAAAGGTCAGCGTCGGGAACAGAGGCGGTGCCTGCGGCAGCAGGGGCCGACGCCGCGACGCCTGGCGCGACGCCCGGCATGCTCGCGTGCTCAACCATGTATTGGTATGCGTCAGCGAGGTGCGAGTCGTCCGAGAGCTTGTTGGCGGCAAGTAGGTCTGTGAGGGAAGCGTTGAACTCGGCCTCGGTCGTGTCGGGCGTGACAACAACGCCGTTGGCATGCAGTGCAGACTTGACAAGCGCGAGGTCGGCAAGGAACGGGACCATCTTGTCCGCGATAAAGTCGTCAAACAGCTCGCGCGGTGTCGAGCCTGGGGTGCCGAGTAGCTCGCGGAGCGCAGGCTCGGCGGCGATGGCGGGCACAAACTCGTCCCACTTGGTGGTCACGCGGATGGCGGACGTGTGCTTGGCAAGGAGCAAGCGGAAGGCATCGCGCTTCTTGCGATGCTCGCGATAGGCTGCGGCGGCGGCGGCATCGGAAGCTGCGGCGTCGGCGTCCTCAAGTTTGCGGACAGTGTCGGCAAAGCCGTCGAGGATACGGAGCGGCGGGAGCATGTGGAAACGGGCGAGGGTCTCGCGATGTGCTTCGAGCCAGGCAAACCAGGTCGAGTCCTTGGTCACGCCCGCACTGTCTGAGGCCATAAAGGCGACAAATTCGGCCTCGGCCTTGGCCTTGGCGTCGCGCTCGGCGTCGCGCTCGGCGTCGAGGATGGCGCGGACGCAGTCGTCAAACAGACTCTCGCGCAGCGAGACCGAGTCGACGGCGATGAGGCGCGGGTCGTCTGCGGCGGCGTCGAGGAATGCGGCGTAGGTCTTGGATGCACCGTCAAGATCCTTGACCATGGCCAAAAAGTTGTCAAAGACGGCCTTCTTGGCGTCGGCGGCGGCGGCGGAGCGGCGCTGCATCTCGCTTGTCGACCACGCACCATAGAGCGCGCGGCGTTCAGCCACAGACCGCAGCATACTGAACCGAGGGTCCGAGCCAAGCTCGGCCTCGACCTCGTCGTAACGCAGTCGCGGGTTAACGCGAGCCTCACTGAGCATGACCTTGAACAGATTGCGGGCCTCATCCTTGGAAACTGCCACGACTGGCTCCTTCTTGACTGGCTCGACGACCGGCACCGGCTTGGCCTTTTCCGCCGGCTTGGCCCTTGTTGCCGACCTGGACTTTGCTGCGGCCGGCGCCTTTTGCGGGCTGGGCACCGCTGCGGCGGCTGCGGGTTTCGCCGATGGGTTCTTGGCCTCGATGTAGGCCTTGTACTCGGGCGGCATGACCCAGACCGACTTTCCAGTCACCTCGTTGTAGTAGTACGGCATGCCTGTGTCTGCCGTGCACTCACGCCAGGGCATGGCCGCCGATGCGGCGGCCGCCGGCTGAGACTGAGGCGCAGCAAGCGCGGAGCCAGCAGCTGCTGTTTTGGCCACAGGGCGGACCCAGACCGACTCCTTTGTGCTCGGGTTGTAGTAGTACGACTGGCCCGACGGCGCCTTGTGCTCCTCCCATCCGGGCGCCAGAGGCGGCTCGCTTGATGCAGCAGCAGCAGCAGCAGTAGCGGATGCCGATGTGGTCGTCGCCTGATGCGGAGCCGCCACCGCAGCACCAGCACCAGAACTAGGACCAGGACCGGACTGAGAGTGATTCCCCGTGTGATAATGGCTTGCCCGCGGCTGCCCATGATGGCCATGGTGGCTGTGATGCTGGCTCTGATGCTGGCCGTGGTGACTATGTCCAGGCAGAGGCTGGCGGAGGCCCGGCTGGGCATGCAGGCCCGGCTGCGCGAGGGGAGCATTTCTCCCCATACTCCTTCCCCTGCCCCTTCCCCTGCCTCTCCCCATGCCTATGTCCATGGCCATAGGCTGCTGCTGCTGGTGGCCGAGGCTGTGACTCTGGCCGTGGTGGTGAAGCCCGCTGGTCTGCCGCTGCCCCACTGCTCCGGCTCCGGGTACAGCAGCAGCTCCGCCTGCCTCCCCTCCGGGCTTCTGCATCCATGCAGGAAGATTGCGCATTGCTCCGCGCCCCGCCATCTCGTTTGGTGGCAGGTGCAGAGTGGAGTGTGGCGGTGGTTGTAGTGGTGAGGGGGGGGGGGCGAGGTCAGTGGGAGCATCGAGTCGCTATCGGTTTGTCGACGGTCGGTCGGTCGGTCGGCCGACGGCGACTCGACGTGACGGCAATGGCGGGCGGAGGGGGGGGGGGGGAAGATCGGAAGGGATCGGGGCAGAGGGCAGAGTTGTGGGTAGATAGATGTGCTGTCTTGCGTCCTGAGTTGTACACGTAGCTAAAGGCGCGGCGCGGCATCAACGTTTGGATTGAGGCGGAAGGCGCGCTGGTAGAGACGGGTAGCGCGGGTGATGTCACCAGAGAGCTCGGCTGCAGATGCGGCGTCAAAGAGCTCGCGAGCCGAGAGACCGTGGACGTCGCGCCGGTCGACGCTGTTGTTGGCCTCCCACGCGGCGATGATGTCCGGAAGTGCCGACGGCGGCTGATCGTAGGGCACGATGCCGACGACCTGCAGGCCGCGGTCGGTGAGGAGGCCCGGGAAGCGTGAGGTGTCGGCGAAAGCATCAGCGAGGGCTAGTGGCGAGCCGGCAGCGTCGCGAACGAGCGAGGCCTTGCGAAGGGCTCGCGCGGAGCGGAGAGAGGCTGCCTCAGGATCGTCGAGCGGAGCACGATCAAAGGTGATGTACTGCACGATGCGCCAGGAGGAGTCGGTGTTGGGGAAGTTCTGGTGCGGCAGACGCGAGTCCCAGATGATGAGCGAGCCCGCGGGGGCACAGACGCGAACAACGCGATCGTGCATGGGATCGTTCGCTGGAACAACGACGAGTGGGCGGCCCGAGGTGGGAACGGTCTCGGGCGGGTGGGCGGCCGGCCAGTCAGCAAACTCAGCGGCGTGGAAGCCCGGGACGCAGCAGAAGCCGCCCGAGGTTGGCGTGGCATCGGTGAGGGTGAGGATGCCCTGGACGCCGCGGAAGCCCGGTTCGAGCCACGGGTTCTGGTCCCAGTGGAGCCATGAGGCCGCCGTCCGCCACTTGGGACGGTCGACGGCGGCGCCATTGGGGCCGAGCTCGAGGCCGACCGTCGGTCGCATGACGCCAAAGCGCGACTCGACCAGCCAGAGGCGATCAGTGCCGAGAAGCGCCGCAAAGGCGTCGATGACCCGATCAGCCGTCCGGTTGTGCCAGGCTGCGGCGAGCGATGTGCCGTCACCAGAGACATCGACAAAGCCCTTGGAGACGCCGCCGCCGGTTCCGGCGACCTGCCCCCAGATCTCGTCACACCAAGTCGTCGGATCCGTGCGGCTGAGGCCCGGCGCGCCACCGAGCAGCTCGGGCGAGGTCCACAGCTCGTCGATGGTGGCCTCGATGGCGTCGGGTTCGAGAACGCCGGCGATGACGACATAGCCGCGATCATCAAAGTGGGCGTGGAGCGAGGCGAGCTCGTCAGACGTTGGCGGCGAGGAGAGGCGGAGAACCTCGCTTGGTATTGTATGCGTCGGGTCCATGGCAATGACTAGCTGCTGGCCGTGGAAAGAATTGTGTGCAAAGTGGCGGAGACGGGACGGCGGAGCAATGAGCGATTTCTTTGTTCGTTTTTATGGTTTTGCAGCGAAAGCAGTTTCTGGAGCGGATTCGAAAGGAGGAGAAGGTTGGTGGGGGAGAGGGAGGAACTACGCGGCGTTCTTGCGGCCTTTGCGGCCTCCTTCTCGCGCTTGCGCTCCGCGGCGAGGATCTTTGTCTCGCGGTCGCGGACGGACTTGGGCAGCTTAGTGTAGCATGACTTGCAGTTGGGCTTGCCCTCCCAAGCGACAAACTTGCCACCTGAGATGGGCTTGTCGCAGATGGAGCAGAGGAAGTGCTCCTGGTGGAACATGCCTCCTGCAGCACGGACGCCCGAGCCGGAGATGGGCTTGCGGCACCACTTGCACATGTTGCCAAACAGCTGAAAGTAGTGAGTCTCGCAATACGCCTTGTTGTTCTTGGTCATAAAGTTCATGCCGGAGAACGGCTGCTCGCAGTGGGCACAGCAAAAGTGCTCGGGATGCCACTGGCGGCCGAGGGCGGTGACGGCGCGCCCGGTGATGGGCTTGCGGCACTGGGCGCAGGTTGCGGCAAGGAGCTCGCGGTAGTGCGGCTCGCAGTAGAGCCGGCCCTCGTACTCGTGGCAGTTGGCGCCCTTGAACGAGCACTTGCACTTGTGGCACGAAAAGTGGTGCGGATGCATCTTCTGGCCCTGAAGCGTGATGAACTCGCCCTCGATCACCTCCTTGCACCGCGCGCAGATGATACCGTCCGGCTGGCGGCGCTTCTTCTTCTTCTCGCGCGCACACGGCTTGCAATGAGCCTCATCTGTCCAGCCGGCGTGAGTGTTCGCTGCAGGTGATGATGTGGCGGAGGAGAAGGATGGAAAAGGGGGGCAACGAGTGATCGGCTGGCAACCGCGCGTCGTCTCTGCTGCACCAACTGCTCCCCTCTCTCCCCTCTCTCCCTCTCTCCGCCCCCCACTCTCACCTCCCTTCCCACGCTTCCTCTCGCCCACACGTACCTTCAAACTTGATAAACGAGCCGCCAGCCAGCGACTTCTTGCATTCGATGCAGACAAAGTGGTCAGGATGCCACTTTGCGTCCATGGCGGTGATGCAGCGGCCAACGATGGCCTCGCCGCAGCCCTTGCATCGCGAGCCAAAGAGCTCGTGGAAGTCGGTGGGGCAATACGGGTGACCAGCCTCCTCAAAGAACTCGCCATTGGGGAAGGGCTGGTCACAATGCTTGCAGGTAAAGTGGTGCGGGTGGTAGTTCTTGGAGCCAGCAGCAATGGCCGGACCATCGCCAAGCGGCTCGTTGCACCGTCCGCAGTTGGCCGAGTCGTAGGGAACGTCGTCAGCCTCGCCAGTCTCGCCCACCGCCGCCGCCGCCGCGTCGGCTCCCGCCAGCTGCTCAAACAGGTCGTCTGCGTTGGCAGCCATGTTCTTCTCTGCTGCCTCCTTCTCCAACTCGGGGGAGTCGTGTGTTGCGTCCTCCCTCTTTCCCCCCCCGCGCAACCACCACCTCGCTGGCTGTGTGGGCGACCTCGGCATGCTGGCGTGCCGTCGGGCGGTGACCGAACGGTTCTGGGGAAAAAAGAGTTGGCGACACCTGCGACGGCGGAAGCGACGGTGGCACGGGGCGATTGAGGAGAGAGAGAGAGAGAGAGAGAGAGAGAGAGAGAGAGAGAGAGGGAAAGAGGGGTGAAACGTGTGTGTGAGGGAGATGGGGACAGTTTTACGACGACGAAGGTCCTCCAGACTCGACGGGAGAGGTCTCCATGTCGACGGCGTCCTCGTTGGTGTACTCGACGTGGCCGGCGTGGATAGGGGTGCGGGTCTCGGAGAGGATGGTGGTGGTGCCACGGGTGAGGTCGTTCGGGCGGACACGGGCGTAGGGGCGCGGGTTGAGGATCTGGTAGCCGCGGCGGACCTCGACATCGTCGACGCCGCGGATGATGGTGACGTCGACGTTAGAGCCAGAGCCGAGGTCGTTGAAGATACCGGCGCGGATGGCGGCGGCGACAAGGTCAACGGCCTCGTCCTCAGACATGTTCTCCTTCCAGCCGGCTTCGAAAACGCCCATGGCGGCGAGCGAGCCGGAGCCCATGGTGACGTACGGCAGCTCGTCGGTGGAGCCGTGCGGGTAGATGGTGTAGAGGTGCGGACCGTTGAGATCGACGCCGCCCAGGACCAGCGCAGCCGAGACGTGGCCCTGGTAACGGAAGAGCATACGCTTGAGGAGGGTGAGGGCGGTGACGACGCGCGAGTGGCGGCCGGTGGCCAGGCGGTGCAGTTCGAGCTGCGATGAGATGAGCGCCGTGGTGTTCTCGGTGTCGGCGGCAGTACCGGCGCCGCAGCAGTACACGTTGGGTGCGATGTAGTGAATCTTCTCGCAGTTCTTGTCCTCCACCGTCGTGTCGCCCGTGGCACGCGTGTCTGCGCCCAGCACCACTCCGTCCTTGTACACCAGGCCCACAATGGTTGTGCCCGTCGACGTCGCCTTGGGCGCCTTGAGGCCCATCTGCTTGAGCATGTTGTTCCTACAGTCACAGCGATAGATCCCCCACACACACACTCCCACAACCCGTAAGTTGACGTCTTGATCCTCCTCCCCCCTCATCCCCCTCTCCTTGCCTTTTCTCGCCTCTGCTCCGCTGCGCTGCCATGCAGGCGTGTCGGCAGGCTTCCGTGGGCAAAGCAAAAAACAGGTCGCCGTCCCCTCCCCCCCCCCCGCCACTCGAGGTCGCCGTCACTCAGCCACAGTCGGCAGGGGTACAGGGTAAGGCCACAGCCAGTAGTACGTACCGCGCACACAGGTCAAACTCAAACCCACCAGCGGGCTTGAGCGACTGCACCACGTCGTTCATGCTTGCCATGTCCGGCGTCGGGTGTTGGGCGCGTACGCAGTCGGCACGTCTGTGGTGTGGCCAGCCGAGAAGAAGGTCGTCAACTAAGCGGTGGACCTGCGGGCCGAGTCGGATTGATCGAGGTGGTGATCGCGCCGAATCAGAAGCAGTCACACTCGACCCATCTACACTAACCATGCCGTCCCCTGCTGCCTCGCGCTTCTTCCTCCAGACCGTTGGCGTTGCCACGGGCCTGTCTGTTGTCTCGGGCGTCATCATGTCCGTCGCCCTCTCGGCCGTCAAGGACCGCCGGCAGACGTACTACACCCGCGCTGCGTCCAATGAGTAAACCCGCTCTGACCACTTTGGTCTCGCCTTGGCTGCCGCAGCCTATTTTTTGCCCTCGCCATGGCCACAACCGCATGGCTGCCGAGCCAGGGCTTGCTGCTGTAGGCGGGAGAGTTGTGGTATGCATGTGTGGGGGGCTGCCAGACTGAGTGCGTATGCGTGTGTGCGTAGGGGTAGCGGAAAGGGGGGGGGGGGGGGGGGGGAGAAGGGACGGGCGCCTCGTGTCGCGCTGTGATCGGAAGGGCTCGAACCAACTGCAGCCGCCGCTGTTGTTCAATGGGAATCGGGTCGGTCTCGGACGATGGGCTTGGGGTGTGCAGGGAAGCCAAAGCTGCGGCTACGCTTTCGATCGCTTGCCGCTGCGCTTGCCAGACTTGGAGCGCTTGCTTGACTTGCTCCGATTGGTGTTCTTGCTGCTCTTGTTCGCCTTGATGTTGCTCTTGCCGCGCTTGCGGTTGCGAGGCGTCGATGACGAGCTCGATGAGGATGCAGATGGCGAGCATGTGGCAGTGGCAGTGTCGGTAGTGGTAGTAGTGGCAGACGCAGTCTCCGAGTTCGGGTCCGAGTCCGAGTCGGCGGCGGCAGGCGGGAGACAGCAGGTGAAGAGGGCGCCACGGCCGCGGGAGCGAGGCGGGTCGGATGAGGCCTCTGTAGCGGTAGCGGTAGCGGTAGCAGACACGGTAGCGGTAGACGAGTCTGAGGAGTCGTCCGGGTGGAGCAGAGGAGCGATTGCAGTGTCTGTATTGGCGGTGGAGAGATAGACCTCTGGCGCTGGCCTGCCGTTGTTCTCCATGCGGTAGGTGGCTTGGCGATAGCCATCGCCGAGGTGCTTGTAGGTAAGGGTGGTGGCCTGCGAGTTGTGGGCGATGGCGGTATCGACCGCGGTTGAGTAGTCGGTCTGGGCCTTGTGCCACTTGCGAAGGATCATGTGGGCCTTGGCCCGGGCCTCGACGTAGTCGTACTGCGATGAGTCGAGATCGATGGCAGAGGAGAGGGCACGGACAGCGTGCTTGACGCGGCTCTTCTCAGACTTGTCCAGCTTGTCATCCACCGCCAGACCGTGCATCAGCACCAGTCCGTACTCATACCACCCATGCGCCGAGTCCGGATCGAGCTTGACAGCCGTGGCCAGATCCTTCTGTGCGTCCTCCCAGTCGCCTGTCTCCATCCTCCGCATGGCCTTCCGCCGCATCTCTCCCGCCTTCTTCAGCTCTTTGGCGCTTCCAGGCATCTTCTTTGCCCTCTCTACCAGCACAGCAAGCAGGCACCTTAGTTGGAGAGTGAGGGGAGAGGAGAGGAGAGGAGGGGGGGGAGCAGTGGTGGCAGTTGCGTCCAAGACCAAAGTCCGTCCGTCCGTCCGTCCGTCCGTCCGTGCGAGCCAGGGAAAGGAGAGAGAGAGATAAGAGGGGGATGGTATGGTTAGTGGTGATGGGTGACTGCGGGATGCGATATAGTGATCGGACTGACTGACTGACTGACTCAATTTGCGTGGGTGGGTGGCTGGGTGTGGGGGGGGGGGGGGATGATGGGCGGTGAATGGGTGAGTCGAGTCGGCTGAAGGGGAACGGCTTGGGAGGGCGACAGACTCGACGAGAACAAGGGAGAGAGGAGGAGAGCGAGAAAGCAGAGACAGTGACATGGGAGGGCTGAGCCCGGACGAGGAGGATGCATCTGCTTTGCATATGGCGGTTGCATTGGACGACTTGAAGCAGTTGGAGGCGCTGCTGGCGGCGCTTCCCTCGGGCGTGGCCACAGCACCGGTCGGAAGCCCGTCTGGAGTCAGAGGCAGAGCTGGGGCTCGGGCCGGGGCTGAGACCGACCCTGTGTCGGTCCCATCCCCAGACTCGGTTGTGGCAGAGACTGGAGGTCGGAAGGGAGGGAGGGCTAGAGCTAGGGCTCGGAGAGCTCGGCGTGGCTCGCGGATGGGTCGGGCGGGTGGTCGGCAAGGAGCGGTTGGTGGACGGAAGGGGACTCGGGGAGCCGAGGTGTACGAGGCGACTCGTGTAGCGCATGCTCGGGCGGTGGCGCTGAATGTGAGGAATGATGCAGGCGAGACACCGCTATTTGCTGCGGCGTGGCTCGGCAGACCGTCGTTGGTTGCACTGCTGTTGGAAGCCGGCGCCGACGTGTCGATCCCGGACAACGACGGGTGGACGCCGCTGGTGGCAGCGGCGTATCGCGGGCATGCGCCTGTTGTTGAGCAATTGCTTAAGCATTTGATCTTCAGCCCGCTCGGTGTGGAGCCACCACCGCCGCCAGAGGCCGGCTCCACCAAGCCCCGGGACGGTGACGGGCGCGCGCCGGCAGAGCGGAGCTCGGTGTCGTCAGTGGCCAGCTCAGCAAGCAGGCACCGACCGAGGCAGGTGAGTAACTCGTCAGATGTGATTGAGGATGAAGACGAGACGCGGACGTCGGCGTCGGTGCAGGCGCTCCAGCTGCGGGCTCGGATGCGGGCTCGATCGGCGATGCGAATGCTGCAGGCGCGGCGGGCGGCGGCGGAGCGGATGTCTTCGCCGTCCGACTCGTCGGCGCCGTCGGGTGGATCGCACGCGACGCCTCCTCCGCCTCCTGTGGGGTTGGCTGCGGCAACGTCGACAGCCGCGCTGCTACCGCCGATCTCGCTCCTCACTCGGTCACCGTCTGTCCAGGGCTCGTCGCCCGGCTCGTCGCGGTCGGACACCCTCGATCCGTTCGAGGTGTCGGAGAGGCAAAGTATGGCACGATCGCCGCTGCCGCCGCCGCTGCCGCCACTGCCACCGCCACCGCCACCGGCTGTTCCACCGCCGATACCGCCACGACTTCCGCCGCCGCCTCCGCCCAAGCCGGCGGCGTCGCCTCACGCGGGCGGCAGCGGGAGTGACGGCGGGCGCAGGGGAGGGCGGCGACGCAGCCGAGTCTCGGCATCGTCGTACCGGCAGGCGCGCGAGCTGCTGCAGCAGCCCGAGTTCCGGCCGCTTGTGCAAGAGGCGACCGAGGCGCTGTTAACGGCCATGTCGCACACCGACTCACAGAACTGGTCTGCGCTGTTGTGGGCTGCGGTGCAGGGACACGAGGCCATTGTCTCGCTCCTTGTCTCCAAGTTTGGAGCGTTTCTCTCGGGGCTGGATGCAGCGCTTGAGGCGGTCAAGTCAGCCAAGGTCCGAATGCTGCTGCGGCGGGCGGCGCGGAGTGGGATGCAAACAACCCACGACGCGGTGGTGGAGCATGTGGCCTCGCTGGGACCAGAGACCATCAAGCGGATTGCCCACAAGCGCAAGCGCGAGGCAGATCCGACCGGAGCAGCCGGTGACGACGCGGCGGGGCCGGCCGGAACGGCGCAAGCAGTCGATGAAGAGCGCGAGGAGCACGAGGCGCGAGCCAAGCGGCAGCGGCGGCTTGTCGACATGGGTGGGGGCCGGAGCGGGGCCGAGGACAAGGCCAACAATCGCATTCCGGGCGACGACCGTAGACAGTCGTCGATAGAGATGCGGCTGCAGCAACTGGTTGAGTTGAGGCAACGAAGCCGGCCGAGTCGGCCGAGCCGACGAGGACGCGGCGGTGCGCCAAGGCGACCGCCACGGCTCTTGCAGCCGCCGGACGTTCAGCCGCTGATGGCGCCGCGCGACATGCTTGACGGGCTCGCGTGGCACATCTCGCGGGACGCCGGTGGTCACCGTGGCGGTGGGTTGGGATCGGGCGGTGGCACGAGCAGCGGCAGAAACGGTGGCCTTCGAGTTGGCGGCTTTGGACTGAGCGGGACGTTGTCGCTGTCGTCATCGTCGTCGCTCGAGATGTCATCGGACGACGACGACGACGACGACGACGACAACGACGACGGTGATGACGACGCCGTTGGGAGAGGGCAGCCACCGCTGCTGATGCTCGCCGACATGTTTGATTTGGATATGTGAGGCGAGGCATTGAAGAGCGATTGCTGCGCCGGGTTTATGGATTAATATGGCCTTGTTGCACCTGACACCGTTGCAGTACTTTGCAACTGCCGCCTCCACCACCACCGCCACCACCGTTCCACTCTCCTCCTCCTCCCCCTCCTCGCCCAAGACACGGCCACCACACCCTGCTCATACCTCTCTTGTTCCATTCACAGTCGTGTGCTGCTGGCCATGATGCACCGCATGGTTCCTCATCATCACCGCCGCCGTTGTGCTTGCCCTCGCCGCCCTCGCCCCGCCAGCCACCGCCGCCGTCTCGTGGGCCGTCACCACCTCGCCGCCCTCTCCGCCGTGCTCGTCGTACGCGGCGATGGCCATGACTCCCACACCCTCGGGCATGGCCGCCGTCGCCTCGTGCTCCACAGGCGCGTTTGTTTACGAGTGCCCGGCCTCGGCTGGGGCCTGCAATGGCACCGCCCTCTGGGCGGCATCGCCTGCTCCATCGCCGGCTCCAGCCACTGACCTGCTGCTCGCCTCGTGGGACTCGACGTCGTCCAAGGTCGTCGTCATTGGCTCTTTCAGAGACTTCTCACCATCGCCTCCCCTCCAAACCGTCAAGGCGAGCACCATCGCCCTCGCTCCGTCGCCACCCGGGCCAACCTGGACTCAGAACACCGGCACTGTGTCCCAGATATCGGGCTCGTTCGATCCGTCGTGGTGGAGCAACCCGCGGTCGATCAAGGCGTCGAACGGCAAGATGTATGCCGCGGGCTCCACTGAGCTGGCGTCGACAAAGACTGCGTCGCTTGCAAGGTGCGAGGCTGACGGCACATCATGTGCCATCATCGATGTGTACGCTGTGGCGTCGCGGGCGGCCCGGGGAAAGACAGGCACCCGGGTGGGCCTCGTTGACGATGTGACCAACTCGCAGATCCTCGTGGTCGCCCTCGATGACGAATCGGGCGCCAGGGAGGTCGAGCTGTTCTCGGTCTCGTACGACCTGGCGACGGCGACGTTCCTGGGCAGCCTGCGGCCTGCAGGGGTGACGCACACGGAATTTTCGGAGGTGACGCCGATCATCGATACGGGCAACAGCACGCTGTACGTGATGGTGAGCGGAGCGTCGGATCTGTATGTGTACCGGACGACGCTGACGGGGACGGTGATAGGCGTGGATGACGCGGTGGCCAAGGTCTCACCTGCACCGTCGCCTGCGATCCGGGTCGATTCCGCACGCGGACAGGTTGTGAACGGCAAGCTTGTGATGGTGACGGTCGATGATACAACCAACAAGCCTGGAGTGTTTGTGTGTGAGCTCGACGTGAGCAACTGCACGTACGACGCGTACACGGGGAGCGAGACCGTGTCTTCGTCGGCCAGGAAGACCGAAGTTGTGTTTGATGTGGCGAGTCTGACGATCCATGCGTTTGCGGCTGCGGGCTCGGGGCCGGCGCTGCATCGGTACGCGATCACGGGTGCGATTCCGCTGCTGCCGCCGCCCTCGCTGCCACCGCCGTCTCGCCCACCAACTCCGCCACCTCCCACTCCAACCCCGAATGCGCTGGTGACCGGGCCACCTGCATCTGACTCTTCTCTACGGTTGTGGGCGCCAGTGTGGGAGGAGCTGTGGGCTTCCTCGTTATTGTCGGCCTTGTTGCAGTTCTTGTTGTTGTTCTCCAGCGCCGCAAGGCTAGCAAGGGTAACGACGACGCCGAGAAGGCCGGCGGCAGCAAGCGCCGTAAGCGCCGCTCTGCGGGCGCCAAGATCAGCCGCAAGTCCAAGTCTGGCAGCACCAACCGTCGCCGTCGCAGCACTGAGCCCAAATCTACTCCCGATGCGTCTACCGACGCTTCAGACAAGTCGCTAGAGCCCTCGGCGTCGTCCGCCTCGCTCTCGGCCGATTCTTCGCTCGTCGAGACAACGTCTTCATAGTCAGCATTGCACTTTAGCAAGACTGCAGTCCGTAACACGATTTTTACAAGCTCGGTCTCCCAGACCTGAGCCCGGATGCACAGCCAGGCAGGGGACCGTCTGGAGCGGCACCATCGGTCCACGACTCGTCCGCCACCCGTCGCCCACCGCTTCTCCACCAGTGCTCGACGTCGAGACACTCGACTTGTGGAAACGACATGGGCGGCCACGGACCTGCGACTCGCTACGCTGCACGTGGAGTGTCTAACCTTCTGCGGATGAAGCTTGCGCCCATGGGTCAGCGGGTCTTCCCCTACGGCATGCGGCATGCCATGGACCGGCTCTTCCGGCGCGGCGCCTACGTCATGAAGGAGGTGGCCATCCCTGGTGCTGCCCTTGTGGCCATCTACCAGGGCGGTCTGTACCTCAACGACGCCGACCACCGTTCCCACTACTTCTAGTTCCCTCTACTAAACCACCATACATCCCCCTCTTCCTCTTCCCGCTTCTTCACCCGCCCCGTCCTCCCCCCATACCCTTCTGCAGCCGTCCCCTCCCCGCCAGCCGCCTGCGCCAAAAATTGTGTTCCTCCCCCGCTGGCGGCCACCGTCTACTCCCGCCCATTCTGCCGCATGCTCGGTCCGCACTGCGCCATCGTGTGGATACTCTCAGTCTTCCTCCGCTACTTGACACCTTGAGCTCGTTGATCCTTCCTCAGAACCGCCCAGCGCTAGTTGAGAGCAGGCCCATCGGATGTGAGCGGGCGTGAGAGGGCCAAACACGGGACGCGGCACCGGGTGGTCCTTCCAAGCCAAGACGAGCCGTCGACCATGACGCAGCGATCTGAGTCAGGCTTGATTAAGCCACGATCTACAGTCTGTGGCAACACGACTGGCCGCAGCAGCCATCGCCGCAGTCGTGGGCTCGGTCATGACCAATATCAGCTCTGTTCTCTGCCCTGCTGACGCGTCTCTGCGACCGCCGTCAACGCCATCGTGCCCGACGGCGGATGTTTAACACAGATCAACCGGCTAAGGATACAGCACGCTCCACTGGCTCTTCCACCGGCGGAGTCATCGGCAGCATTCAAGCGTGTGTGTAGGGGGGGGGGGTGGCTTTTGTTCGGTTTGTGTTTGTTGGCGTGATCAGCGGCGGGCACCGGGGACAGCCGGGCGGCGGGTCCACTTGCGAGTCGACTCGTGCTTGCCGAGCGACTTGTTGATGACGACCTCCGACATGTTGCCAAAGTTGAGCTGGCGGAGCATGTCCTGGGTGTCGGCGTCGATCTCGATGACATCGAGGGCGATCTCCGAGACATCGGGGACGTAGTTGTCCTTGCGCTCGCGCTCCTCCTCCTGGAGCTTGAAGGAGATACCCTGAACCGGGCCCTTCTGAATGCGGCGCATGAGGTGGGTCAGGAAGCCGGCAATCTTGTTACGGAGGCGCTTGGTGGGGATGATGGCCACCTCGTCGCAGATCCGCTTGTTGACCTGGAAGTCGAGCGTGAGACGCGCGTAGTACTTCTCAATGATCTGGCGGGCTGCCTTCTTGACCGTCTTGTTGCGCACGCGACCCTATACACCATAGTCACCGTAAACACTGTGAGTTCCCGCCATGTCCCCCAGCCCAGCCCTGGTGGCTGTACCATTCCCCGCCCCCGCCGCTGCCGATCCGGTTGAATCATACAAAACCGCCGCGGGGAGACGACGCTCTCCGGATGGACAGGAAAGGCCTACATGGACACCACAGCACCTTGCATAACCGACGCCATGTATGGCGTTGCCTATCTCGCTTTGTCCGCGCCCGGCAGTCAAAGCATGCGTCCACGCCATGCCCATGACCACCGGCGTCGGCAGAGTCGCGCACAATAAAATCATCCCTCGCCACCCCCCCAGCCAGCCACACCCTCCCCCCCCACCACCGACATGAGCAGCCAGAGCTGACCTGGACCAAGCCGAGGCATTATGTGACAGGGATGTGCAGCTATAGCTGACATAGGGTGGTCATGTCTGTGCCTACTGCACACAATCTCCCTCTCTCATCCATGTTTGCTCTCGAGTGTTCGTACCATGGTGTAGTGTGTGAGTAAGGTGTTTGAAGCCAAGAATTGATCGAGTGGCAGCAAATGACTCGCCTGTCGTTTGCTCCCCTGCCACCCCTACCAATCCAACCAACGATTACCACCAACGATTACCACCAACGATTACCACCAACGATTACCACCAACGATTGCCACCAACGATTACCACCAACGATTGCCACCAACGATTACCACCAACGATTACCACCAACGATTACCACCAACGATTACCACCAACGATTACCACCAACGATTACCACCAACGATTACCACCAACGATTACCACCAACGATTGCCACCAATAATCGACAAACTCCTCCCCCCCTTCCCCCCCCCCCTTCTCCCCCCTCCCGTTACATCGATTCCTCCTCCCCCCCTCCCAATCCCCTCCCTCTCTCCACAGCCGCAATAATCCCGTCCCTCTCACCTCCCGATCTCGCTACCCGCGAGTGTGGGTGATATTGACGACTCGTGGCCAGCCACCGCAAGGAGCGAGTCACCCAAACTGAGAGTTGACGTGGCCCACTCACGAGCCCACACGTCTCCCGACGCCGCGGGACTCGGGCAAGCTGCTCAGCGGGGATGGAGGTGTCTGACCGGCTGGTGTTGGAGCTACGGGAGAGAGTGACGGGAGTGCTCGAGTCGCTAGAGGACGGGGCGCACGGAGCCACGTCGTCGACGGCCTATCTGCTGCAGGATGAGACGTTGGTCCGCTTCCTGCGAGCGCGCAAGTGCGATGTGGAGGCCGCGGCAAGCATGGTCATTGAGTGTGCAAGATGGCGGGTCGCCTTTCGTCCGCAGGACCTCCGCTGCGAAGGCAGGGTCCGCTCCGAGCTGCAGATGGACAAGTTTGTGGCCATGGGCCAGACCAAGTCGGGCCAGCCGTCGTTCCTCATCTTTGCCGGCCGCCACAATCCGGCCGAGTCGCCGCTAGAGAACGTCGTCGCCGCCGTGGTGTGGATGCTCGAGCTGATGGAGAAGCGCATGGCTGCGTACGGCGTCGACAAGTGCACCATCCTTATGGATTACTCGGGCTGGGGCTACGCCAACATGGACAACAAGATGACCCAGGAAGTCCTCCAGATCATCCAGAACTACTACCCCGAGCGCCTTGGCCGTGCCTTTATGATCAACACTCCGTGGCTGTTCAAGGGCGCTTGGCGCGTCATCTCGCCGTTCCTCGACGCAAACACAAAGTCCAAGGTCGTCTTTACTGGCTCTGACTACGGCGCCGAGCTCCGCGAGTACTTTGATTCCGATCAGCTCGCAGACTCGCACGGCGGCACCATGCACTGCGCCTTTGACCTCAACGCCTTTCTTGCCGAAGAGGCGAGCTACGAGGTCCAGGCCGATGCTAACGCACTCGCCACTCCGGCCGCCTCCGGGCTTGCCTCGTCCGCTGTGGACGAGAGCCCGGACGGCCACGCCCTCACCTCGCAGCTCGAGGCCGAGGTCACTGCCATCCTCCGTCGCAAGCCCAAGCGCAGGCCCGAGCCGGCCCATGGTCGCGGCTGCGTCTCGCCGTCGGCGATGCCGCTCGGTCTGGTCATGCGCCGCTACGCCGATGAGGACCTCGTCGGCTCCAACGGCGAGTTTGCCGGCACGCCCCGCCCAGACTGGACCCCGCGCGAGTCTGCAAACCCCATCGTGTTTGCCTCTCAACAAGGCTCCGCGCCCTCGGCCCCGTCGTCGTCACGAACGCCGGCAAAGTTCATGCGCCTCTCCGTCCTTGACTTTTCCACAGACTCGGCCGCCGCGGCCGCCGCGGCCGACGACCATCCCTCATCGCGCGCAAGCTCACAGTCCTCCGTCTCCTCCATTTGGAGTTCAGTTCGCTCGCTCCGCGCGCGGGCCTCGCCCGCCGCTGCCCGCTCCGCCACTCGCTCCGTCACCCGCTGGATCACTCGCGGGCCGGGCCTCAATCTCGGTGACGCCAGGCCGGCCTCCCGCGACTCGGACGGCTCCTTTTCTGACTACATCGATCCGGCCGCCGTCCCGCACTCTCCGGCCTCCTCCGGCATCCGTGATCGCTCCCGCAATCCCTCGGCCCGTTCCAATGCTCTCTCCTATCTCTCCGATGGCGAGGTCACCATGTACTACGACGTCGAGTAGCAACCTCTCCACTCGCGCCTCGTGTCTTGTCTCTGCCTATCCCCCTCAACGGCACCATACATACCTTCCATCGCCTGTTCCCACTGGCCCAATAAACAGCGGTGACGCCACGAGTGCAGCTCAGGGGGGCGGGAGCGGCGCTCCAAGCCGGAGCCGCAACTAGCCTATCTCATGTCCACCTCTCCCCACACCTTCTCCTCCGCCCCCCACCACCGTCACCATTGCCACAGCCCTCACCATGTGCAGCGTACTACATCTCTCACACTTAGCCATTGTCCTCACCGTCGTCCTCGCCATTGCCGCCGCCTCCGCCCCGCCCGTCCAACGAACACCCGCCACGCCCGCACTTGCCGCAGACGCCGCCGCCCGACCACTAGTCCTCCACTTTGTGTCCGACTTGCCATCATCGCTTCCTTCTTTCCTTGCTGAAGCTCTTACTGACGTCGCCGACGTCATCGCTGCTTCATGGAGACTACATCCGTCGTTGACGACGGCGCCGTTGCCGGTCAACACCTCGGCTCTCGCCGGCTCCCGATGCGGTCGGCTTGCTGCAAATGAGACCTCCGCCTTTGCTGCTCCGCTGCCGTCAGACGCATCGGTGGTAGTGCTTGTTGCCGCCACCTCGGATCTGCCGCCGAATCGCGTCGCCCTGGCCGCTCCGTGCGGCTTTGATCCGCGTCTCGTCGGCCAATTGCTGGCGCTCTGGTCTACCGGCCCGAAGCGGCAGCAGCTCTCGCCCCGCTCGCCCTCCGCAACACGCTCTGGCGCGAAGCCATGCATGTACTTGCTTTTTATCCGGCCGCCCTCGACCCGATCACCTCGTGGCAGCTCGTCGCCTTCCGCAATCGCTCAGTTATCGTCTCGCCGCGCGTTGCCGCCGCTGCTCGCGAACACTACGACTGCCAAAGCCTCGGCGGCCTCGAGCTTGAAGACGGTGGAGGGAACGATGTTGCTGACTTGCACTGGGAGGCTCGCCTTGTCGGCCGCCACGCACTTATGGCTCCAACGCTCTACAACGCCTCGCGCTCTGCGCTCTGGCCTGCCCTCTCGGCCGCGCCAGTCCAGGCGTCAGCATCAGACGCGCCTGTGGTCTCGCCGTTTACCATTGCCCTCCTCCAAGACTTGGGGTGGTATGCGCTCGCAGAAGGCGCACCTGCTCCGCCGTTGCTTGCTTGGGGTGCCCGTCGCGGCTGCGCCTTTGTTGCAGGCGACTGTAGTCCGAACAATCGTGCCTGGCGAACCTACCTCTGCGTCAAGCCCGGAAGTCGGCGATGCGCACCAGCGTGGGACGCGCTTGGCGCCTGTGATGTGGTTTCTTTTCTTGATCCGCTGCCGCCGGGCTACTCGCATCTGCCTGACCCGCGTCGTGGCGGCTCGGACCCTCTTCCTGACTACTGTCCGCTCGCAGTCCCGCTCGGCGAGAGCTCGTGCGTGACTCCGACGCTCGAGCATGCGCGCACTGCAAGCAACCATGGTGAGCGATTCTCGCCCTCGTCACGCTGTCTTGGTAGCTCCATTGCGCAGCCCGGCTCGTCCTGGCCAGCCCACGGAGCGGCCTGCTACCCCATGCATTGCCAGCGCAACGGCTCGTTCACCATTCTCGTCGTTCAGATTGCTTCGGTCTCAATAGCCTGCCAGCCGTATGCCAGCATCTCGGCCCCAGGCTTTCTCGGCAAAGCCTACTGTCCATCGAACTATGATATCGAGTGGCTCTGCGCCACGCTCACCCTTGCCCGGGAGCCGTGGCCTCAGCTGGCCTTCATCGAGCCGGCCGTGCTGCCAGCAGCGGCCGAGACCATGCTCTACGTTCATGGATCTGGGTTCGGGCCGTCGCTTGCAGTCTGGCTCAGCTACACTCCGCCGGCCGATGCCGAGCCTAGTGTGCGTGCTGGTCTAGCCGCACCGTTCACGGTCAGATGTGCCGAGCTTCATGTCATCGCCGCCGACCTTGCCTTCTGCCTTGTCCCCCGCCTTGACAACGAGCTCGGGCATGACGCGAGCCTTGATGTCAAGATCGCCAACGCGCCTGCTGATGGTTTTACCTACCTCGCCATGGTGCGGTATTCGCACCGCTCAGGCTTAGTCAGCTCCCAGACTCGAAGCGAGTCGGTCATGAGCGGCATCGGAGCGACGTCGGCGGCCGCGCCGCTGCTCCTCGGAGTCTACTTTGTCATCGCCATGCTGTGCATCACTGCGCTTGCTCTCTGGCGCATCCGCTGCTCGCACTGGGTCTGGGGCGGTTCGGGCGCTCATGTTTGGATCTCATCATCGGTCATGGAAAAAGTTGTGCATGAGCACCCCCTCATTGGTATCTACACTGTCTACTCTACCGATCCGTTCTCAACTGTATCGCGGACCATCAGCCTTGGCGCCTCTCTCAACGTCGGCTACATGTGGTCGCACCTTATCCACGCCATGTTTAGCCGTCATGCCGGAACCTGGGGTGTGGCGATCTTTGCTCTCGCTACCGGTGTTCCCGTCATGGCCGGGTTTCAAGCGATTCTGGCCCAGGCCATCCGCATGCCGCCGTCAGGCAAGTCACTCGTCTACGTGGCTGGCTTGGCCGAGATGGCCGCCGCCGGCTTCGCCGTCGTTCTCTTTGTACTCAACGTGCTCTTTTCCTCCACGCCGGTCCTTGTCGAAAGCGCAAACTTAGCGCCGCGGGCCCAAAACGTGTTCATCGTTGCCATGATTGTCTACGCCGCCTGGCTCCTCGCCGCAGCGCCGCTCATAGCCCTCGTCAAGTTTTACATCCTCAGGGACAAGACGCTGTATCTCGGCCACTCTGGCAACGCCCGCGACGCCACAGTCAGGCCCGGCATCACCATCGTGGTTCCCCCACCGCCACAGCAAGAGCCCGCCATCACTGGCGCAGCCGAGGCGCTGAGCAACTCGTCGTCGTCAGCTGCTCTCTCCAACTCGCTCTCCCTACAGGTCCGTGTCACGCCGCAGCAGACCAATCCGCCGCGGCTGCCGCCAACGCAGCTGCCACAACCGCAGCCGTTCCGAGCAACGCCCAAGGACGACTCATCGTCCGACTCGATCCTCTCGGACCCAGACGTCATGATTGCCACGCCACATGCGGAAGCCTCAGCTGCTGGAGTCGGCACAGGCCGCTCACCGTCGTCATCGTCGCCGTCCTCGTCGTGCTCGTCCATCCTGGCTGACATGTCGTCATGCTCTGTCTGCGATGTGCCTGAACCGTGACACAGGCACCAGCCGCCACGCTACTGCGGCAGGTGCTCACCATGAAACATAAAGTCGTCGCGGAACCAGCCGCCTGGTCGGATCGGCACCAGAATCTCGTCGTTGAGCGTCTGGATGAGGTCGCTGAGCATGTCGAGAACGTAACGATTGTAGTGCGTAGCCTCGAGCCGCGGCAGGTTAGCGAGTTCGGACTTGCGTCGCGATTCTCTGCCGGCCACCGTGTCGGTGGTCCATGCTGCGCCTTTGCGCCGCCCCCACCCGCCATCCATATGGCCAACCCGCCAGCCCGATTGCCATGCCCGATAGCAAAGGTCAACGTCCGAGAAGATGCCCGACTCACCCGGTGGCGAGTACGTCTCGTCCACGCCGCCCAGCCGCTCAAAGGCTGTCTTTGAAATGGCAAACGGCGCGTAGTCAACCCAGAGCATAAACTGAAAGTGGATGAACTTCTTGTCGGTCTTGTCGTCCAACGCAGCCAGATCGGGCTCGGCCTCGCTGGCTTCAGGCTCCCACGGCGAGAGCCATGGCGTGCGAAAGTGAATGCGCGAGGCGGCCCACCGCTTGTGATCCACTCGATACACGCCTTTCTTGAGCCCGACAACGGCGAGCGACGGAAAGGCGTTGTAGACAGAGTCCAGATCCACCAGCCAGCGGCACGAGCTCGGTGGGATGTCGTCGTCCTGCAGAAATACCACAATCTCACCACGTGCCATATGGCCCAGCCGATTGTAGCCGCGGATCTCGTGAATGTTGCCCGACCAGACCGGAACAACCCACTCGGAGGCCACCGCCCGCCACGCCTCGACATCGTCGTCGTCCTGCGAGTCGACGTTGGCCAGAAGCTCAATGCCAAACGGCAGCTGGTCACGGCAGCTTGCCAATGGTGCCACAATGCCCTCCACGTTCTCCGGATGCTTAAAGTATTGCAGCACGAGCGAGATCTTTGGGTAGTCGTCCGGCCTGGCCGGCACGAGACTGGCAGGCTCAGTCCGGAACTGGCGGCCATGCTCCAAGTACGTTGCGTCGATGTCTGCAATGACATCCGGGCCAACTCCACCGAGTGTTCCACCTATCGAACCCGTTACTTTGTCTGTGCCAGCTGTCTCTGCTGCCGCCAATGCCTCTGCTGCCGCCACCAGCTGCGCCTTGCAAAGCGCCAACTCGTGCTCGGGCCGTGCCAGGCCCGGGCCATGGCCATGACTTCCGCTTGCGGTGGCACTTGAAGATGGCGACGAGACCATGTATGAGGTCGAGAGGGCAGAGACCACAGCCAGAATACACACCGCCACGAGTGGCTTGCGCGTCATAGGCGACACGCCCAGCATGGTCGGCGTCAGGTGGTCGATCCCCTGGTGTAGGCTCTCGAGCCACACGCGCTGATGCCACACATTCATTCGCCTGCAACTGGCTGGTCTGATCAGAGTCCAGGCCCATTCTAGGCCACTTCCCTGGCCACAGACTCGCCCGTTGATTGACCATGATGCTGCTGCTACTATTCTCTCCGTCGTATGCTCTGGCCTCTACGATGGCTCATCGCGTGAGGTCACCACCGTCGTGCACGCCGACGAAGGGGGGTGATCAGCTTGGTGTTGACGGGGTGCCGATGATGCCGGATGCAAGAAGGGGTCGACGTCCTGTGGACTCGTCAGCGGGACCATAGAGGGCGCCGACTTGGCCCGGAGCAAGTGCACGAACAGGTGTGCGACACGACAACGCCAGCTTGGAGTCGGACAGAGTTCCGGCAATGCTACACGGTGTGAGCGGATCGAGGTGGCGGGTGCGGAGCCAGAGCTCGGCGCCGACGTCGAAAGCCGCGACCCAATCGGGATGGTCCGGCGCGAGATCAAGAACATGATCGAGCTGAAGCGACGACGACATGAGCAGGGGATGCTCTCTCTCGTCGACCAAATACAGGATGCGCGCCTCTACGTCTTTGCGAGCAAGGTACATCGGCCTCGGCAAGCCGCCAAGTCGGGCCCGCTGGCCGATGGTCAAGGTGTGAACGCCAGCATGGCGGCCAAGAACGGTGCCGGTGGTCAGATCGCGGAACTCGCCGGGTGCGTCGGGCACGTACTGCTGCAGAAACTGGCCAAACTTGCGCTTGCCTACAAAGCAGATGCCCATCGACTCGCGCTTGGCGGCCACGTGTGCCAGCGACGCCACGCTGGCGGCGATTGCCCGGACTTGGGTCTTGTGCAGGGCTGCCAGCGGAAAGAGGGCATCACCCTCTGGTCCGTGAATCTGCTCTGGGCGCGTCCGGGCCAGAAAGTACGTCTGGTCCTTGGTTGTATCATTGGCCTCGGCGAGGAAGCACAAGCCATCCGGCGCAAGGCGCGACGAGGACGCGTAGTGGCCGGTAGCCACCACCACATCGTCACCCTCCAGTCGGTGGCGGAGCGTCTCGACCAGCGCGCCAAACTTGATCGCAGAGTTACATGCCATGTCAGGGTTCGGCGTCTCGCCGGCGGCATAGCCATCAAGCGTCGGCTGGAAGACCTCGTTCCAGTACTCGGTTGCCAGATCGACAGCAACCAGCGGCGGCAGACCAAGCGCCTCAACCACGCCCTTGGCATCGCGACGATCTGCGTCAACAGTGCAGAACCGCCCCAGCTCGTCGTCCGCCGGATCCCAGTTGGCCATATGGACAGGAACCAGCTTACCCGTCCCAGACGCCACAGGCATCGAAGCCAAGATGAGCGCCGCCACCGCCGAGTCGACACCGCCCGACACCGCCAAGGCCACCCGCTTGCCCGTCATCCGAGACTCGGCCGCTTGGACTTCCAGCAGATCCCGATGCGCAGCCTCCACCGCACGCCGTGCCTCTCCATCTAGAGCATCTACAATGCCTGCAGCCATGCTCGATGCCTTCCGCTCATTGCCGATCCCCATGCCCGTCCCTCGCCACCATGACGCCAGCCACAGCTGCTTGCGCGACAACGTCCTCCACCGACCAAGCGAAGACCGAACCATACGCCCCAACATAGCCACAGCAACTCCCTCTAACCAATCCTTGCCCTCAGCCCACTAGGCAATACTCACTCTGTGTTGCAAGACGAGTGTGCGTACTCCAACCCAACCACACGTCTCAAGCCCATGCCCATGCCCATCCGTGTTTCCCTCGTGGCAGGCTCGGCTGAGGCAGCAGAGTGTGTGATGGGATCGGATCGGATCCAAGTCAGCCACGGATGACGGAGGAAAGGAGGGAGGGGGGATGGGGATGGGAGGGGGAGGGGAGGGGGGAGGCGTCACGGGTCATTGGCTCACCACATCTCCTGCTCACATCTTGACACACTTTTCGTGTCCTTATACCTCTGTGCGCGTTCTGTGTTCTTGTGGACGGTTACTACGTGTGGTCGTCGCTGTATGGTGGCTGGAAGCTGGTCTCTGGAGCACTTTGTAGTCCGCTCGCAGGCGCTCAATCTTTACCGCGCCGTCCTTCGTACAGCTCGCGCTGCTCCGCACGCGCAGAAAGACATCATTGCATCGGCAAGATCGGCCTTTGCTGCAAACGCGCATACTCCTGTTGACAACATTGAAGCTCGGAGGGCTCTTATTGCCGGCGGATACGCTCAGCTTCGCACACTCCGCAAATCGCTCAACCTCGCCGGACTCCAGGCGCCGCACTAGCTCGATCTGCTTGCCCTCGACACGAAGATGAACAGCGGCACAATGGATGGTCCGCAGGCGGAGGTTAATGCTGCTGTGGCGCGACTTGCCGCCATGGCAGAGAGCGCTAGGGGTGCCCGAACCGGCGTGGCGGCTCTGGTCAGCCTCGCGCCGTCGATCTTTGTCCTCGGCCCGGCCGGAACCGGCAAGACAACGCTAGCAGGCCGGCTCACAGCAGCCTGGACAGAGGCGTGTCCCAAAGCGGCGTGCGGGTGCAGCGCTGAGCAGCGGGTTGTTCAGGTCTCCGGTCAAGATCTGGTGCTGGAGGCACTGGTCAAGCGGGCCGATGCCGGAGTTGTGGAGAAGGCTGTAGCCTCTCCCGAGTGCGTTGGCAAGGCCGAGTGCAGGGCGGGCGAGCCGTGGCTCGCTGGTGCCTTTGCCCGAGTTGTCATCATCGACGACGCCCACGAGCTTGTGGTCGACACGCCATACACAAACAGGCTGGCGGGTGCACTACTCGACGCGGTGGCCGACGCGGCGACGTCGCGAACGCTTTTGGTTGTCATCGGAGCCAGCGACGTGCCACGATGGGCACTGCTGGTCGACCGCTGTGCCGCAAGCGTCGGCCAGCAAGTGCGGATGCAGGCGCCGACAATGGCCGCACGCAAGACGCAGCTCGCGGCGTGGCTAAGCAAGACGGGCAGCAGCAACAGCAGCGTCGACGTCGAGTGTCTGGCTAGCCTCACCCATGCCGGCACGGCGCGCGACGTTGTGGCCGGATTGCTGATGAGCGAGCTCGCGGGAGCGCCGCCGGCCGACGCGCTGCGGTATGCTATGGCCCACGGCGGTGGGCAGGCAAGTGGCGGGCCACCGCCGCCGCCAGCTGCCACTGATGGCACTGAGCAGGTCTGGGTTGGGTATCCAGAAGTTCGCGAGCGGCTCAAGTCGCTGGTGGCACTCAAGGTGAGTGCCCCTAGCCTTGCAGCGGCATACGGTCTAAGCGGCGCGTCCGGCATACTCCTCCACGGGCCCCCGGGAGTGGGCAAGACGCTGCTGGGAACGAGCCTCGCCGAGACGCTTGGTGGTGGTCAGCTGCGGTCGATGCAAGTCTCGCTCCCAGACGTGCTCTCGCCGTACGTAGGTGAGACTGAAGCTAACATCCGGGCGGTGTTTGAGGCCGCGCGCGCCGCTGCGCCATGCCTGGTGTTCTTTGACGAGCTGGACGCGTTTGGGGCGGCTCGGCGGGCCGAGCCTGGAGGCACCTCAGACGCCATTGAGGAGCGGCTGCTGACCCAGCTTCTGACCGAGCTGGATGGAGTGTCGGCACGTGGGGCAGTACTGGTGGTCGGCGCAACCTCACGTCCAGATCTGGTGGACAAGGCACTGCTGCGACCTGGCCGCTTCGATGCTCTGGTCCACATTCCGCTCCCGGATGCAACGTCGCGAGCTGCCATTCTGAGCCACTTTACCCATGCTGCCACAGCGGCCAACGACGATCTGGTGCTGGCAACTGAGGGCTACTCTGGCGCCGACCTGCGAGCGCTGGTCTCGGCCTGCGAGCGCACCGGGCGCGACGCACTTGATCTGGTGGCCTCTGGAGACGTTTGCGGTATCAGCGAGTGAGCGCTACGGCCGAAGCTCGGCCTGAACAGAGTCCCGCACACTGGTCAGAGTGTGCGGGGGCGACTTGCCTACCAGCGACGGCTGCGACGCCGCATCGATGGAGATGGCCGAGTCGGAATCGTCCGACTCATGACGGTTCTGTTGGACGACGACAGGCGTCGACGATGACGATGAGCACGAGTGCTGCGCGGCCTGGTGGATGATGAGCGGCGTCGACGAAGACGACGACGATAAAGACGAGCTAGAGTGCTCGTCAGCGCCACCTGTATCCGGAACAGCATGCGCGACGGCCGACGCCGGGCGCGAGATCAGCTCCTCGCGTGGCGAAACAATGTCCGACGACGAAGACGACGAGAACGAGAACGATGGCAGCTCGCTCGCCCGCCTCGGTCGCTTCTCCGCCGGTTGGCAGCGAGAGAGCGATGCCGCCGACGAGCTCCGCCCACTGGCTAGCAAAATGTTACGCCGGGCGACCATGCCAGACGGGAAGGCTTTTTGGATGGTAGACCGCATCGGGTTGGTGAGCTGTGGGGTCGAGCACGACGAGACGTTGTCACTGGTGTCGGACGCTGTCGCCCCATGCATCGGGTGCCTTGGGCAGGTAAACGATGACCGCAACGACAGTGATGATGATGATGATGATGACGAGTAGGAACCCGACGACGAGATTGCACTCAAAGCCTGCAAGAGCGCGGAGCCCGCCACCGAATCGGTACGAATGACCATGGTCTGAGAGTCGCTCAAGTCAGTGTTCTCGGAAAACGAGATCGAGCGCGCGAGTGAGCCGGTCGAGGTGTCCAACGGAGAGAGCTGGGCTGAGATAGATGGAGATCGTGACCGCGACCGCCACACCGCGCTGCCGTCAGAAGCGACCGCCGACGATGAGAAGCGAGCCAAAGGTGAGGTGGGTGTTCTGCGGCCGTGCGGCGGCGCACCGCCACCAGCGTCCATGCCGCCACCAGCTCGCATCGGAATCGGAGCATGCCCGGGTGGGCCGAGCAAAGCAACTCGCGGCGAAGAGACAGGTGAAATACGCAGCGGGGCAGGGAGCAGGACAGTTTGGCTTCCGCGCGAGACGGCGCCGCGTGCTTCGGGGGCAACCGGCTTGAGCCCCAGCTTGCGCTGCAGCGCCAGAACCTGGATGCGGAGCTTGACATTTGCGTCTTCGGCAGCAAGCAGACGGTCCTCGTAGTTGGCAAGAGCGAGGTGTGCGTGCTGGAGAGCATCCGCCGATGCGGCCGCTGACTCGACCGCAACGGTGAGGTTTGCACGGAGGGCTGCGTTTTCGCGGCGGAGCAGGGCGTAGTCCTCGGCAATGATGACAGCCTCGACTCGCTTGGGCACAATCGAGGCCCACGCCGAAAAGGTGGCAGCAAGAACGTTGCGGGTCCGCCGCCGCTGGAAAGCAGCCATGAGCGCCTGCTGTGGAAGACGGGCCTGGCGACGCTGCAGCGCCCAGAGTCGCCAAGCCCGGAACGTGACCATCATGCGCCACGAGACGGTAACCAGCCATCGGTCGACTACTGCAAGCTTGAGCGCGCGCTGTCGGGCGGCCGCCACCCGCCAGGCTTTGAGCGCAGCGCCGAGCTCGGCGCGGCGTGCGGCGCGGCCCATAGCCACGAGCCTGTGCTCAACAATCGAGGCCCGCTTCCAGGCAGTAAAAGCTTTCCGCATGGTGGCCAGCTGCTCAGCATACGCCACCTGGTGGGCGTTGACCTTGGCCGTGAGAAATGCCGCGTTGTTGACAACGCCAGCCGTTCGCATGCGAACAGTGTAAGCGTGCCAGGCGCGGAGCGCGGTCCGGCCGAGGCGGGCGCCGATCATGGCATGCCACTGAGCGATAGCGTCGTCGTCGATGGCAGCAGCCAGGATGTCAGGCGTGATGCGAACACCACCTCGAGGTGGCAGAGCAGCCTCCAGGCGAGCGGTGACCCGCTCGACCCGGCGCTGGTGTGCGGCACGGCGGGCCTTGGCCGACCACCGCGGCGAGGTTGCCAGCTCCTTCCAGTCGAGCAGCGCTAGCCGGGCGCGTCGGACAATCCGCTCGTTAGCCATTTCCTCAGCCGCGGCAGCCCTTGCCTGTGAGAATGGCGCAGCCGATGCAGCCTCTGCCGCCCACGCCCGGAGGACGGAGCGGAGGCGCTGGCGGCCGTGACTACGAGCCATCAGCTCTGCCGCCCGCCATCGTGCAGCCCGCGCCGCCAGCCACTTGGCCATATGTGCTGCAACAGGCGCAGACACTGCCAGCCGCCATGACGTCAGCGCCGTCTTGCTTCCATCTCCCTCTGATTGGTCTTCCATCTGCTTCCCCACCGCCATCGTTGTCACCGTCGCTGTCCCGGCCAAGCTCCCCTCGTCAGACCGGTGCCCACTCTCCGCCACCACCTGTTCCACCCCAGCCTTCTCCACGCCAACGCCAGCCATACCCTCAAACCACAACCCAGAGCCCAGAGCCCAAGTAGGTGGGGGGAGGTGGGGAGAGGTGAGAGAGATGAGGGGTGAGGTGGGGGTGGGCGGTGGAGGGAGTTGGCGCCCACATTGAGCGACGACCACACGCCCCGAGTTGGGCACAACGAGAACAGATGCGATGAACTCGTGAAGCTAATCCAAGACTGCGATGGGGGGGGGGGGGGGAAGATGGTCCAGGGGCTGAGCCCATGTCGCACATCGGGAGGAAGAGGAGGGGCAAACGATCAGGCGGCAGCGAAAACAGGAGGGGGGGGGGGGTGACGT